TTATCTCAGATTCTCCAGCATCTGCAGTTCCTACTATCTCAGAAGGCCTTATTATCACATGGTCTGCTACTGCACTTCACCCATCATTAGCTACTAATTGGAGATGGCAAGAACTGCAGATGCTGGAGTCAGAGACAACACAGTGTGGAGCTGGAGGAACACAGTTGTTCCTGTGTCTGTTGAATTTCTGAAGAAGGGTCCTCAGCTGAAAAGTCAATTTTCCTGCTCCTCTGACGCTGCCTGGCCTGCTGTGTACCGCCAGCTCCTCATTAGCTATTCATTGTCCACTACTAGCTATTCATTCTCCCAGGCAGATCGGTAGTCACACCTTTTCTCTGTCCAAATGTTCTCTCTCTTTGGGCTTTTCCTCCACCTATCGTTTATTTCTAAATCCTTCCTCCCACTCCAACCCTATCTTCTGCACAAAAAATAACTTCCTCCTCACTGCCATCAGTTCTGAGGAAGAGTCACTGAACCCAAAACATTTACTCTGATTTCTCTCCACAGATGCTGCCAGACCTGCTGAGTTTTTCTCGCAATTTCTGTTTTTGCTGCCACAGATTCACCACCATTTGAGGGAAAAAGATCCTCTCATCTATGTCTTAAATGGGCAACTCTGAGATTACGCCCTCTGGTCCTGCACCATCATATCGGAGGAAAATACCTCTCACCATCTACCCGTCAAGTCCCCTAAGAATCTCGATCCTGCTTTAACTCCATGTTATTCATATCAACGCCCTAATTCTTCTAAACTCCAGTGAGTATAGTAAATGAAAAGTTAGACAAAAGTGGTCTGATAATCATTTGATATATCCAATGATATAAACAGAAACAACCTCCTTAACAGTTACCCCCAACACTTCGCGCCTTTCCGTGAAAATACGTCGCCCGGCAATTCGTGAATTTCCGTGGCAATGACGTGCCATTCCTCTCCGGAGAGCGCTTCGGGTGTGTTCGGCTAGTGGTGATCTCATCGAGGCGGGGCATCAATGCACTCTCCATCCACTGACGATGCGGACGCTGAAGAGGGAACGGCTCTTCGGGAAGCCCCGCCACCCACGTTCGTGCATTTCCGTCAGTCATTTTTCGTTTCGGCCGTGCGTCACGGCGCTGAGCCGGCGGGCGGGCGCCATGTTGTGGAAGGTGTTTTCTTCCTCTTTCAGTCAGTGTGTGTAATGGAGAGACACCCGGGGGTCGGATCCGCACAGAAAAGCACCGAGAAAATAGCTGCCAATATCAAAACGCTTAAACAGTAACAACAGAACCGTTTATTTCCTATCTCAAGAATCAGTGAGAGCTTAATTGCAGTGCCCGGTGGTAATTTTTTTTACAATAGGAGAGAGATATATAATTTTTGAGTAAAGACAAAAGGGAGAGAGCGAGAGAAAATGTCTCTCGAAAGCCTCACCTCCTCCAACAAGCAGTCCCCCCAAAACGAACACAACAACATCAACCTCACTGAGTCAGGAGACGAAAGGTCGAGTAAAAACAACCTTTTTATCCAACATTTCTCTTTTTATATATTTATATTAAAAAAACAAATTATCCAACAATCTACCAAGGTCAATTTTTCTGAAGGGAAACCTTGGAAACGGAAGGTAGAGGAATGTAACTGTGGATTAACATTTTTTTAAAGAAGGATTTTTTCTTTATCTCATTCTAAATCCTCTTAAAAACTGGTCGCTGGACTTTATATATATATATAAAATATAAATATCCTTTTATATAAAGAAAGGAACTAAGGGGTGATTTAAGGCCTAATCGCATGCTTGGGTGGTGGAGTTACAATGTGACTATGTCGTTAATGCAAAGGAATTCTTTTTATAGTAGGGCCTATTTCTGTATGCTTATTAATTTTATTTCATTGATGCTTATTCTTTCCTCTCGTCCTTTAACAAAACGCAGACCGGTTAAAGGACATCGGCAATTGACCTTTGAACTTCGATTTTTTTTACCCAGCGTCCCCATCATAAATGGAAAAACATTTATCATTTATTTTAAACCTGCTTTGAATCTATCTTGCTGTGTTTGTGATTTTATTTTAAATATGCATGACCCATTTTAAAACATGACTTTGCAATCCCCTCACAAATACAACTACGAGTTTTATTCATTTATAACGTGACTTCAGTTTGATCCTTTCAAAATCTGTTGTACCTATATTAAAAAAGCACCTTGTGTTTGTACAGTATTTGCTGGTCATCATGAAACATTCATTCCTTTGTTTGCAAAGAAAAACAAATTACAACTCATTTGGTTGTTTTCAGCGTCTTCAGCAATGAATACTAACTGGTCCCTTGCTCTACATTCTTTTGTAGATCCAATTTTATTCCTGTTATGAAGAAAAACAGTTACAGTGTTGCCATTAGGATTTCAATAAAGTGTAGTGGCGAACATATAAAAATTTTAAAAATAGTCTAAACGAATTGAAAACACTCAACAATACAGTTTAGATTTTACCCTTCCAAATTCAAATTGCTAACTATGGGTTATATAAGTAAATAAAGTACTGGTAACATTTGTCACTAATAGCGAGAGTAATTTGCGACATTGTCATTTTCAGTCAGCAGACAAATTAGAACAACGTTGAAATGGGGATCAGTCATTGCAGGTTGAATTCAACTGCATTTTCAATATTAGTTATAGATCAAAATGCTGTTTTAGTTGAACTCTGCCTTTATCGAAAATCGTTTATCATAAACTGAAGTTATTTTATCGATACCCTGGAGTTAAATAACACATAGTATCCCCAACATTGGCAAAATCATCACATGTCTTGAAATAGGTCTCATCAAAGAAATTTGAGTTACATGTAGAATCCATTTATGGGGTAAGTACAAACCTGAAGATCTCGATAAATCAATTTCATGTGTCGATACTGAATAGCTTAATCTTTTAACCTGAACAGTGTAGTTATGATGTGAACAATAGTTATTATTGTATCAATAACTGTTTTGCTTCAGTAATTGATAAGAGTGATTGTATTTGGGGTAACATAGAACCTGGCTAGGAATTTGATTGACATGACAGGATAATAATTTATGAACACTAGATATTTAATGAGGATGAGCCACTTTTTTTTATAATTTAGTTCCCTCTGATCTTGCATTTTCCAATTTGGATCATAGAGCCATCGAAGAGCAGGATTTGGGAATGTTATTGCCAATCTTTACATTAACCTTGAGCACTATTGACAGTCAACTCATTTGCAAAGTCATGGACTTAAGCAAGGAAAGTTTGAAATGCGGTTGGGAAATTTAAGATCAGTTTGAAAGAGAAAGTTAAATAATAAAATGTAGGTAATTCTCATTAGCTGTTTTTCTTATTTACAAATTACCATCCTGTCATGTTGATTATCTTCTTGTGGATCATAATTTTAAGCGTTAGCAACAAAGCTTTTTTCATTGTTCTTCAAGGAGAAGATAATCTGAGTTCTTTGAATCAGTGCAGAATGTTTGTTTATCTGTGGAGTAGAAAAAGTTATCTCTCATTTATTGAGTTCCCATTTCTGGCACCAGTAATGCCGAGCAGTTCTGAAAAATTGGTGGGGATTAGTAACTCCATCTCGTCATCTATTAAATGATTCGTGACAGTGCCTTTAGGCCAGATCAGGTAATGTTGAAGCTAGGATGCGGTGGGAATTTAAGGAAGAGGAAAATAGCTGCATATGGGGAATAATATGAAAGACTGTAAATTATTACATCATTGTTATGACTCCATCTGTTGGACTTATTTATCAAAATGTACGGTGTATTCCCACTAGCTCAATTAGTAAAAGCTGTGTGCCTTTGAGCTGTACAATGTGCAGTCTACAGATAGTGAGGGCAGTACAGTGCCCCTTTAAGGAGAGAAAATCACATTGATGTTGGAAGTACAACTGCATGTGGATACGACCTAAGGAGAGGATTGGGTTCTACTGTTACATATGCATTATGGAAAAATCAACCACCTCTTCCACATAAATAGTAATCTTACGAAGGAGATGGAAGTTACTCAGAACCAGGTCGCAGCTTGAGTATGATGCAATATGTTCAGTAGAGCAGGAGAGGAGAAAATTCATTTGTACACCAAAATAAATTGAGAAAGTTGCATTGTTTTGATAGTATGTTTGAGATTTTGTGGGCAAGTTATGAAAGTTTTGGAAAATGGTCAAAAATTGTAATTGTTTAATGTAGCCATAAAGAGACTAATTTGTCTCTTTGGTGCCTAGTGATCTATGAGGCATCCTACTTATTCTACAGCTTCTATATTCAACAGATTATGGTTGTTTCCTTCATGGACATTTCCTGTTTTGCACATGATATGTTGTTAACCTGACCAGAGTTTTGGCCTGGATGTAAGTGGGGATCACAATTATCAGGTGAACGAGTGCCTGATTGGATGTTAAATCCAGTCTTCATAGGCTGGAGTGTTCTTTCCAGCTGGCTAGGAAGAAGACTCATTGTATGAAACACTGTAATGAAATACTTTTGAATGCTTTATTGCATTTGCTCCTAGACTTCTCACAGCCTTCTTGATTAATGATAGTTGTGGAAGAGCCATGGCTAATAATTGCAGAAATGTATCATTATTTCTAGACTGGTGTTTTTTTTTGACCAAATTCCTAGCGTCAGTAGAATACTCCGTTGCTTCATTTAGATGGAATTGAAAGGTAGGGGAAGGGGGAAGATTATGTTTAGTTTCTTGAACCTTAGTTACACATACTTAAACTACTGTGGCAGGTTTGGTCACCATATTATTACATGGGTGTACAGACACTGGAGAGTATGCAGAGGATTTATAAGAAAAAATGTAAGAAATATTTAGGCGTTCATATCTGGGAAAGATTGGCAAGCATTTCTCTAGGTGGAAAAATAGGGTAGTGGCCTTACGGAAGTCTTTAAAATGATGAAAGATTTTGATAGAGTGGAAATAGGGAAGATGTTTAATCTTGTGGGGAAGAGCATAACTATGTGCCATCAATATAAGATTGTCCACTTGATCCATGGGGACTATGCAGAAGAAACTTACCCAAGGATTGGTAAGAATGCAGTTAAGGGAATGGTTGAAGTGAATGATATAGATGCAAATAAGGGTATTGGAGACAAGTTTATGCTGGGAAAGAGAGTGATTGGCCTGCTTTTGTGCAGTATATATTACACAATTCTCGTTGTGCAAATCCAAGCTAGGACAGTCTCCAGGCTTTCCAGTGATTAAAAAATATAGTACGTAATTCATTTGGGGAAAGCTAGCACAGTGATAATGTCATTGGACTAATAATCTAGAGACCCAGGCCTATGATCTGGTGGGGTGTGTTCAAGTGCTATCAGGCACCTGGTGGAACTTGAATACAATTGACAAATCTGGAATATAAAACTAGTCTCAGTAATGATGATCATTTCGACTATCATTGATTGTTTCAAAAAAAATACCACATCTGGCTCAATAGCATCATTTAGGGATGGAAATCTGTTTTCTTTATCCTGTCTGGCCTACTATGATTCCAAATCAAAGTAATATGATTCTTAACAGCCCTTTCAAATGGCCTAGCAAGATACCATCAGTTGAAAGAGATTAAGGATGGGCAACAAATACTGGCCTTGGCAGTGATGCCAAAGCTCTATGAAAGAATATACTATGAAAAAAATCTGGGTGTAGTTTTTGAAGATAGACCAGAAGTACTGACTTCATTTTGCAATGTCTTATATGGAGATTCAATGAGTTACTTCAGTTTGAAAATACACATTGCCCATGAGGCAACCAGTGACAACCCGAAATGTTTGAAATTCTATACCAAAATCCTCAGTCGTCTCAATAAAGATTTTCCAGCATGTGAGTTGCTAGCACAATGGATAGATATTCCTCAGTCTTTTGGTCCAGTTTTAACTCAAAAGAAAGATATAATAAGGTACACTCCCTCTGCTTTGGTTTTGAGTCTTTTAGAAAAAAGAAATCCTGTTCACTTTTAACAGATAGTAAGAACTGCCAATGCTGGAGTCAGAGATAACACAGTGTGGAGCTGGAGGAACACGCAGGCCAGACAGCATCAGAGGAGCAGAAAAGTTGACGTTTCGGGTCAGGACTTTCCTCTGATGCTGCCTGGCCTGCTGTGTTCACTTTTAATCTATATAGAGCATACTGTTCCTATTTAAAGTGGGATGTTTGCCTCTTTAGTATCAGAACTGGGAAGCTAGTACATAGCATAGAAGATGTTCCCTGGTTACTTGTCACTATTTTAAGTTCCTCGTACACCATTCATTGTCTGTGACAGTTATCAGATTTCTGTTAGTATCACTGTGTTACTAGTATTGCGAGATATATGAAACCTGATTTTTTTTTTGCCAAAAGAATTCCTTTGGGGTAGAGCTTGTATCTGCTCAGCCTTGTCCCAGCACTGACTGTGTATGTGTTCACCATAATAGAAATTCTTCTGGTCGGATAACTTATGGTTTCTTTTTAGGCTATAAATTTATATAAAATTGAGTGAATGGCATAAAGGTTTAGGTGTTAAGTCTACTGAAAAAGCAACAGCTTGCTTTTATATTGGCACCTTTATTTTTAAAGCACCCAACACTTTATACGGGACTATAATTATCCAAAAAAATTGACACTGAGCTAAAGAATGGGGTATTGGGACAGATCGTCAGAAGCTTCCCCAAATACCACATGTTTGAAATGCTTTAGGATAAAGAGATGGAGAGTATTTAAGTGGGAATGCCAGAGTTTAGGCCTTAGACGGCTGAGTCCACAGCCACCAGTGATGGGACGCGAAAGCGGGTGTTATGTATGAGGGTAGATTTGAAATAATACAGAGGTCTTTCTGGTATTAGTAGACATTGACCTATAGCTGCCAATTTAAAGAGGCTTTAAAAAGTTAAAAGTGTTGTGTTCCTAATGTCTGGTAATCAAACTTGCATGCTGGTTTTTTATTGGGCAGTACAAGCCAGGATGCTGTGAGCTTTGACATTAGTTTTGTTTAATTTGTTTTAGATTGTTTGATTTTCGTACCAGCAGTGCTTCAATTGACCTTAATTTCCCAGGGCCGGGGAAGGAACGAGTCAGATGAGGTTCACTGTCCTGAATGTAATTTAATAGCTTATAGTGGCAAATATGCTCTTATCAGCTGAGGCTGGGCTGGGATATGGTGCCACAGGACATAGAATTGCTTGTTGGCTTTCCACGTCCGGTCTTTCATAAAGAGCGACACTTGGTTAAGGTATTGGAGGGTGACCAAATATGTTTCAGCTCCTTCAGGAGTAGAGAAAATTGTCTCAGGTGTGTATTGACTTAAAATTATCAGATGAAAGTTAACGCTGTGAACAATTGCCAATTTATTGATATAATAAATTTGAACAAAGTTCTGTGATATTTAATGATAAATGCATGCTAATATTTTAGATTTTAGGTGTTAGGTGTTACCTGTGTGTGTATCATAATGGCACAATTAAAATTACAAAGGCAAGTTTGTTAAAGACATAAATGATAGAAATTCACTGCTTGGCAGTCAATATTTGACAAAAAGAAGATTAAAGTTTTGCGCAGCATCCTTTGTCAGAACGGTTATGGTGAATAGTTTTCAAAAAGCAGCTATTGCATGTTCGAGCTTAAATATAGACTTTAACTAAAGGAAAAAGGTAGGAAAGTCTGTATATTAGGTAGAAATCTTGTTCAGGCAAATGAGAATGACATTGAATTACCATATCTAGCTCTCATACCGATCAAAGCAACTGCACAGGAAATGGAGATAACACAGTGTGGAGCAGGAGAACACAGAAGGCCAGGCAGCATCAGATGAGCAGGAAAGTTGACGTTTCGGGTCGGGACCCTTTTTCAGAAATGGTGAGGGGGAAGGAAGCTCAGAAATAAATAGAGAGAGGCGGGGTGGGGCTGGGGAAGGTAGGTGGGATGGTGATAGGTGAGTGCAGGTAGGGAGTGGTGGGGATTGGTCAGTGAGGTGGGAGGGGCTGATAGGTGGGAGAGAAGCATCTGCAGTTCTTGCTATCTCTGCACAGGAAATGTAACTGTAGGAGTGGAAATTGTGTGGTCTTTAAATTTATACTGTAAATGTATTAGTTACTTGTCCAATATCTCACAGGTTCTTTATTATACCATAACCAAGTGATGCGAAACATTGCAGTGAGTCAGCGTCATCGTCCAAGTTTGATCCTCGCTATCACCAATGTGTGTTTACTGCACCAGATGTTATGTGATAATCAACAACAGTTTCACTAGCTTCTTGTTTATTTTTGAGCACAGTGAAACAAACGTTTAAAAAATTCATAATTTTACTTAATTCATCAATATTGCTGTCGGCTGAGATCTTACTCAGCAGAGACTAGGAATTACTTCAATTCTGCTTACGGCAAACATTTTTAAAGCAGAAAAGGGCAAATGTTTGATGTTTGCTTTACTTTTTAGTTTCCTGGACTTAGCTGTTACTGGTTTAATACGTTCTTAGTAAACCAATGATACAAATTAAAATGCCAGAAATGTGAAAACACTTTTCCCTCTGATTTTTCTCCCATTTCAGAACCATTGATTCTTTCTTTCTGGAGTCCAGTCACTTGGATATCAGCATGACGCTTTTACTGTGAACGTGTACGCCAGGATATTTAGTGGTGGAGGTTTAATCCTGGAGAAAACCGTAGCCCATGCTGCTGCTTGTTTTCACCAATCATCAACACATACTTTCCAGCTGGGATGTGTTCAGGGTGGAAACCCTGGTTGGTTCCCCTTCCTTCAGTATTGGGTACTAAAACCAGAGTGCACCATTTGTACTTGAACTGTGTTTGAGTTCAGTCAGCTTTACCAGAGACGAAACCTTGGGTCCTTGTTGGTGCACTTTCCCCTAAGTATTCACTATCTCAGTGCTGGTACAGTGGGGCACCTCTACCTTAGGGGTGTCATACCACTATTGCAATTCTCCAAATGAGAAGGTTCAACTTCAACCTCCGGACTGCGCGGAGCTCACTAACCAGCCAAGACATAAGTTGATGTCCTACAATTGATCTGAGTGCTTATGAGGTTAGAAGGGGAAAAAGTTATTCTGAATTCATGTGAGGACAAGAATATATACCTTCTGTCACCACTTAGAATTCTCACAGAAAATGCAGAGCGCTGAAAATACAGTAATCACAGGAGTGCTCAATTTCATAAATGCCTATCAAATGCTGGTTGCTGCATCAACATAGTGGAACAACAATTAACTTCCACTGTTTGCTCTCCTAAGTCAGCAATAACCAGTATTTTGAGGTATAAGAGGGCTCCTGGGACAAGTGGAACCCAATCCCCAAAGCATTACTGGCATCATCAATAGATACTTGGAAGTAATGCATCCATAGCAATGTTGTTTATTCATACAATGAATGAAATTGTTCTTTAAAGTTACAGTCAATTTAACTTGGTGAGAGATTGTAATATTAAACTATGAGTACATTGTATATCTGACAGTCAGGTTCTTGTTAGAGTTACGATGCTATTTTACTTCAGCTTGGACAGTGAAGTTAGCATCCTGCATCTGTCTCTGTACTCAGTGGATTTGGATGGTGGTCAGTGCTGATCTCAACAAAGAACAGTAGTTTTATTGTTTTCAGTTCATTGGGTTATAACTGGCATCTTGGATTATCTTTTCTATTGCTTAATTACTAATTAATCGTTTATTTTTCTATGTACTGTCAATTTCTGCTTTTGATGATTCATTTCTGGTAATATAGGGAAGAAGGAGAACTGGAAGAAGGAGAATTAGAAGATGATGGTGAGGAAATCGAAGCTCAAGAGGAGTCCCAGGAGAAAATCAAGAAAGAGAAATGTGAAAAACAGGAAAGGGATCATGAGGATGATGAGAAAGATAAGGATAAGGACAAATCCCATCGTAGGATGAAGAGAAAACGAAAAAAAGAAAGGGAAAAAGAAAAGAAGAGGTCAAAAAAGAAACGGAAATCAAAGCACAAGGTAATCAGCCCTAATGTTCGACATCGACTGTACTTCTGTAAATGCAATGCTCAAGTTAAGATACATGCACTAGTGACAGCTAAGTCTCAGATTAATAGTATTGGCTGGGAATATACAACTCCAAGTCATATTTCAACCGTATAAAACTTTTCAGGTATTGTGCACTTCTCTTCCCCACACTATAGGAAGGATGTGAGGCTTTGGAGAGAGTGCAAAAGAAGTTTATGAGAATCAAAATCGAAAGAACTGCAGATGCTGTAAATCAGAAACAAAAATATAGATTTCTGGAAAAAGCTCAGCTAGTCTGGCAGCATCTGTGGACAGAAATCAGAGTTAACGATTTCTGAATGATCCTCAGAACGGATGGTAGCTAGGAAATTGTCAGTTTGTATGCAGAAGATAAGGTGGGGGAGTGGATAAGGATTAAATGGTAAATGGGGATAGAGACCAAAGACAGAACAGTTGGATAGACAAAGGAGTCGATAATGATCTGGTTAGGAGGGTGAAGAGCTATTAATGGAGACTGCTAATGGCTAACAATGGGTTGCGTGTGGTAGCAGACTATGTGGTAATAAGGCCTAGTGTGTGGGGATTGGGGTAACGACATGGGAGAGCTCAAGCCCCAAAGTTGTTGAACTCAATAAGTCCAGAAGGCTGTGGGTCCCGAAGCAGAAAATGAAGTGATGTTCTTCCAGTTTGCACTGAGCTTCACTGGAACACTGCGGCAAGTCTGAGACAGAGATGTTGGCCAGGGGAACATGGTGGTGTGTTGAAGTGGCAGGCGACTGGAAGTTCAGGGTCTTTTTTGTGGACAGAATGCAAGTGTTCTGTGAAGCAGTCACCAGTCTATGCTTCATTTCTCCTATGTAGAGGAAACCATATTGTGAGCATTGAATGCAGTAGACTAGATTGTGTGAACTGCAAGTAAAGTGTTGCTTCACCTAGAAGGTGTATTTGAATCCGTGGATACTGAGGAGGGAGGAAATAAATGGACAGCTTTTACACCTGTGGTTGCAGCGGAAGGTGCTGTGAAGCTATGGGGGAGCGTGTTGAGAGTGAAGGAAGAATGGACCGGTGTGTCCTGGAGGGAACGGTTCCTGCAGAAAGCTGGTAAGGAAGGGGATATCTATCTGGTGGTGGCATGTCGCTGAAGGTGGCATAAATGGCAGCTAATGATCCTCAGGATGTGGATACTGGTGGGATGGTAGGTAAGCACAAGGGGGACCTTATTGGTGTTGTGGGAGGCAAGAGAATGGGTGAGGGCCGAAGTGAGGGAGTCTGATCCGGCTGAGGGTCCTGTAAACAAAAGTGCTGGGGAATCCTCCTTTGAGGAAGAAAGTGGACATTTCGGAGGCTCCCTTGTTGACTTGTCGAAGTTGACACCATCAGAACAAATGTGATGGAGATGGAGGAATTGGGAGAATGGAATAGAGTCTTTCCAGGAAACAGGGTGCGAGGATGTACAGTCCAGGTAACTGTGGGAGTCAGTGGATTATAGTGGATATTGATAGCCAGTCTGTCCCGTTATGCCTGTCTCTTTGTGGTGTACACAAGAAAGCATTGTGGGTGGGGACTGGAATAGGACTGAAACATTGAATGTTCCACGTACCCCACAAAGAGATGGGCATAACTGGGGCCCATGCGCGGACCTGTGGCCATCCCTCTGACCTGAAGAAAACGAGAGGAGTTAAAAGACAAGTTGTTCAGAGTAAGGATAAGCTCAGCCCGTTGGGCACATGGAATATTCCTTGTTCCAGTCCTATTCCAGACCCCACTCACAACTCTTTCTCTGGAATATCGATGATATCATAGGTGCTGCCTCCCTCTCACATTCCAACTTGGTAAAGCTTTCGCTTCCAATTTCCACCCTGTTCTCGCCTTCATATTGTCCATCTCTGAATCCTCCCTCCCGTTCATCGACGTCTCTCTTTCCATTTCTGGGGATAGACTGGCTACCAATATCCAGTATAAACCCATTGACTCCCACAGGTACCTGGACTGTACATCCTCGCATCCTGCTTCCTGTAAAGAATCTATGCCATTCTCCCAATTCCTCCATCTCTGTCACATTTATTCCGATGATGCCAACTTCGATAAGGGAGCCTCTGAATTGACCACCTTCTTCCTCAACAGAGGATTCCCTAGCACTGTTGTTGTCAGGGCCCTCAGCTGGGTCAGACTCCCACACTTCGGCCCTCAACCACTCTCTTCCCTCCGGCAACAGTGATAGGATCTCCTTTGTCCTTACCTATCATCCCACCAGCGTCCATATCCAGAGGCTCATTTGCTGCCATGTCTGCCATCTCCAGCGAGATGCCACCACCAGATACATATTCTCCTCCCTTGCTAACCTTCCACAGGACTGTTCCCTCCAGGACATGCTGGTCCACTCTTCCTTCACTCCCAACAACGTCACCACTCCCCATCTACTGCAACTGCAGAAGGTGTAACACATGTCCATTTACTTCCCCCCTCCTCAGTATCCAATGGCCCAAACACACTTTCCAGGTGAAGCAGCGCTTTATCTGCACTTCACATAATCTGGTCTACTGCATTCACTGCTCACAATGTGGTCTCCTCTACATTGGGGAAACGAAGCGTAGACTGGGTGACTGCTTCGCAGAACATTAGGGTTCTGTCCGCAAAAAAGAACATGAACTTCCAGTTGCCTACCACTTCAACATACCGCCATATTCCCTGGCCAACATCTCTGTCTCAGGCTTGCTGTAGTGTTCCAGTGAAGCTCAGCACAAGCTGGAGGAACAGCACCTCATTTTCTGCTTTGGTACCCTACAGCCTTCTGGACTTAATATCAAGTTCAACAACTTTGGGGCTTGAACTCTCCCATGTCCTTACCCCAATCCCCACACACTAGGTCTTGTTATCACATAGTCTGCCACCACACACAACCCATTGTTAGCCATTAGCAGTCTCTATTAATAGCTCTTCACCCTCCTAGCCAGATCATTATCGACTCCTTTGTCTGTCCAACTGTTTTCTGTCTTTGGTCTCTATCCCCATTTACCATTTAATCCTTACCCACTCCCCCCACCTTATCATTTGCATGTAAACTGACAATTTCCTAGCTATCATCAGTTCTAAGGAAGGGTCACTTGACCCAAAACGTTAACACTGATTTCTGTCCACAGATGCTGCCAGGCCTGCTGAGCCTTTCCAGCAATCCCAAGTTTACCAGAATGTTGCCTGGAACGGAGTGTATTAGCTATAATGAGAGTGTAAGGACTGCAGATGCTGGAAGCCCGAGTCAATGGATGTGAAGCTGGAAAAGCACAGCAGGTCAGACGGCATCCAAGGAGCAGGAAAGTCAACGTTTCGGGCATAACTCTTCGTCAGGGACTTGGATTCTTTTTGCTCGACCGTCAGAGGCTGAGGGGTGACCTGACAGAAGTATGTAAAATTGTGAAAGGCATGGATAGTCAGAGTCTTTTTCCCAAGATGGAAATGTCACATTCTATGGGGCTTAGGTTTAAGGTGAGAGGGGAAAAGTTCAAAGGAGATCTGCAAGGAAAGTTTTTTTACAGTGATGGTAGTAGGTGCCTGGAACGTGCTGTCAGGGGAGATGGAGAAGCAGAGATGATAGCAGTGTTTCAGAGGCATTTAGACAGTCATAGGAACAGGTAGAGAATAAAGGGGTACTGACAGTGCGTAGGCAAGCGAGATTAGTTTAGAATTGCTTCATGGTCGGGACAGATATGGTGGGCTGAAGGGTCTGTTCTGGTCCTGCATTATTATATGTAATTTGTATGTTATGATTCCTTTAAAATTTAGATGCTCATGCAGCCATTTTTCAATGAGCAGTTCCTACTGCGGCCATTCACTGTATTTTTATCATAGAACAAGGCCTGTTTGATTCCAGACTGCTTGATATTTGTGGGAGATAGTGGGAACTGCCGATGCTGGAGAATCTGAGATAACAAGGCCTGGAGCTGGATAAACACAGCAGGCCAAGCAGCATCAGAGGAGCAGGAAAGCTGACGTTTCAAGTCTGGACCCTCTTCAGAAAAATGAAGAAGGGTCCAGACTCGAAACGTCAGCTTTCCTGCTCCTCTGTTGCTGCTTGGCCTGCTGTGTTCATCCAGCTCTACACCTTGTTATCTCTTATGCTTGATATTTGTGGAGTTTTATAGAGAAAGTTACAGTACAAGAGGATACCATTCAGCCCAGTGCATGTGTCAGTGTAAAAACAAACCTGTGCAGTCTAATTCCCATTTCCTGTATTTTTTCTGTTGTTTCGTAAATTATAGCACTAACAAACAATCACCACAGGAGCAATATGGCCTGAGAGTTATAGAGTCATAGAGCTAGAAAGCACGGAAACGGACCCTTTGGTCCAACTCGTCCATGCCGACCAGATATCCTCTATAAATCTAGTCCCATTTGCCAGCATTTGGCCCATATCCCACTAAACCCTTCCTATTCATATACCCATCTAGATGCCTTTTAAAAGTTGTACCAGTCTCCTGCACTTCCCCTGACAGCTCATTCCATACATGCACCACCCTCTGCGTGAAAAAGTTGCCTCTTAGGTCGCTTTTAAATCTTTCCCCTCTATGATTCCAGCCCAATGAGGAAGGAGCTACTGCTGGATCTAATTCTGGGAAATGAAGTGAATTAAATGTCAGCAAGGTTATACTTTGTTACTTTCTAGACAAGCTGGTGGTGGTGGTTGGTTGGGTGAATGGTGTGGTGTATAAAATGAAGGCAGAGGATATTTAATGCAGTAAAGTATGAATTGATACGTTTTGATAGGAAGATTGCAATTCTTAACTAAGTGCAGGAACAGAGAGAGATTGAAAATATAAGTGCACAAATGATTGAAGACAGCAGAACAGATTAAACCTGTGCCCATTAGTTTTGGACTTGCCCACCCAGGGGAAAAGATCTTGCCTATTTACCTTATCTGTGCCCCTCATGATTTTATGAACCTCAAGAAGGTCACCCCTCAGCTTCTGACGTTTCAAGGAAAATATCCCCACCCTATTCAGCCTCTCCCTATAGCGCAAACCCTCCAACCCTGGCAACATCCTCATAAATCTTTTCTGAACCCTTTCAAGTTTCACAACATCCTTTCTATAGCAGGGAGACCAGAATTGCATGCAATACTCCAAAAATGGCCGAACCTATGTCCTGTACAGCTGCAGCGTGACCTCTCAATTCCTTTTTTCTTTGTATCAATCTTTTACTTTGTCATCCAACCTGTATTGGTGTCTCAGGTTCTTCAACCTTCTGCCAGTGTCTGACATGGCCCCCCCATTTTGAATTCCTCCACTAAGTCTTCCCTCAACATTTTCTTTGCTGAAGAGAATAATAGTCTGTCCATGTGATTGAAGTCTCTCATTCCTAGAATCATTCTTGTAAATATTTTCTACGTGCCCTCCTAAGCCTTTGTATCATTCCTGAAATATGGTGCCCGAAATTGGGAACAATATTGCAATTGAGGCCAAACGAAGGTTTTTCAGTTCCTTGCTTTTGTACTCTGTTACTTTGTTTTAAAGCCAAGCACCCTGAATGCCTTTTGACTATTTTCTCAATCTGTTCTGCTGTCTTCAATCATTTGTGCACTTATATTTTCAATCTCTCTCTGTTCCGGCCCTTAGTTAGGAATTGCAATCTTCCTATCAAAATGTATCAATTCATACTTTACTGCATTAAATATCCTCTGCCTTCATTTTATACACCACACCCCCCCCCCCCCCCCCCCCCCCCCCACCACCCACCACCACCAGCTTGTCGAGAAAGCAACAAAGTATAACCTTGCTGACACTTAATTCACTTCATTTCCCAGAATTAGATCCAGCAGTAGCTCCTTCCTCATTGGGCTGGAATCATACTGATGTAAAACAATTCTCTTGGACACATCCAGTAAACGCTTCCCTCTTTGCCCTTTACACTTTGTATTATCCCAGTCTGTACTAGAATAATTGAAATCCACATTTTATCTACTGTACAGTTGTTGAAGCTATCTGTGATGTCCTTGCAAATTTGCATTTCTATATGTTTCCCATTAGTAGGTAGCCCAATAGCGCAATGGTACCTCTATCACTTCTTAGCTTGAACAAATTAGATTCAGTCCTTGATCCTTTCACATTGTAATATTCCCTTTAATCAATCTTGCCACCCTTCTTTCTTTCCTTCCCTATCTTTCCTGAACATCTTCCGGAAATATTTAGCATCCAATCCTGCCTCTTTATGAGCCAGAACCCTATTATTGCCTGAACATCTGTTTTCTACATGGCTATCTGTGCCTGCAACTCAGCAACCTGATTTGTTTAGTTTGTTCATACAGTTCAAATACATATTCAACTGATTTTTAAACACAGTGTGTATTTCTTTCAGTACTTCCTTCAGACAATGTGTTCTAGCCAAACACTGCCCTCTGGGCTTTGTCCCCTGGTTACTGACTTCTCTGCTAAGGGCAATAAGTCCTCTTTATCTACTCTTATTAGGCCTGTCTTAATTTTATACACTTCAGTCAAATCTTCTGTCAATTCCTGAATCCGCAAAGTTAACAACCTCATAGTATACGATCTCTCAATGTAGTTAAAATTCTCCTGTCCTTTATTTTTTCTGTTGCTTCTTTTTATTCTGAAATTTCTTCTTGAAAGCCCAAAAAAAGCCTGTAAAAATTCAATCACGGGCAAGAAACGTAGTTCATTTGACAGCATGTTCTAAAGGTATAACTGCTACCACTTAGAAGGTCAAGAGCAGTGGATACATGGAAACACTGTCACCAACATGTTCTCCTCCAAGCCACGTACCATCCTGAATTAAAAATAGATCACTGTTACTTCACTGGGTCAAAATCCTAGAAATCCGTTCCTAACAGCATTGTGCGTCTACCTACACTCTGTAGGACTGCAGGGGTTCAAGAAACTCACCATTACCTTCTCAAAGACGCAAAGAATGATTAATAAATGTTGGCTTATTAATTGGGCATATAATGGCAACAGTACTTGGTTCTGGTGATATATTTATAGTATGGATCCTCTTTACAGAAAGGAAACAAAACATGGGTTTTGAATGGCCTTGAATTTGGATGAAATTTCATAATTTACCTGAATACAGTGATGCTGCCTTTACTGTTTCTTTGGTGGTATAACTTGCAAAATGTTGCCATCTGGTAAGTAAGCATATTGGCATGGCTTCTAGATATGTTAAGACACACCTCTGGAGCAAGTAGGACTTTTTTATTCATTCACGGGATGTGGGAGTTGCTGCCTAGATCAGCATTTATTATCGACTCATGATTGCCCAGAGGGAAATTAAAAAGCAACCGTATTGCAATGGGTCAGGAGAAACATGTAGGCCAAACCAGGTAAGAATGGTAGTTTCCTTCCTTAAAGGACATTAGTGAACTTGATGGATTTTTTTGATAATCAACAATGGTTTCCTGGTCAACCTTAGACTTTTACGTTTTATTGAATTAGCAGATGGTGGAATTTGAACCCAGGTTCTCAGAACATCACCTGTGTGGCTGGACTAATAGTCTAGCGAAAATACCTCTAGGCTCCAGCTTCCTTGAACACGGGCTTCCTGGCTCAGAGGTAGGGATGCTACCACTGTGCCACAAGAACTCCTCTTAGTATGGCTTCTATAGTTGTGTCACTTGGTTACAGTAGGTAGCAACTTAAATTTGCATCTTTGTGTTGTGTTTTCAGATTTTCCACTTAATTGTCTTTGCAGAGACATGTATCTTCCAGTGATGATTTTTCTGACTATAGTGACGAATCTGACTATAGTCCTGGGGAGAAGGGATATCGGAAGTATCGGGAATACAGTCCACCATATGCACAGGTAAAGGCAACAAAGTAGGATATTGATTTGTTTCGTGCTACCTCACTTTGCACTGCTATCTTCAAGGTATTTTCTCTGATGGTTAATATAGATACGGCCTCAGAAAAGCATTTTCTCTTTGGATGTCTCTTGCTACCACTCCATGCTTTATTAATGACACTAGAAACTGGAACTTGAGTATAACATTCCATTTCCATTCCTTGAATCTGTATGATCATGGCTGAGCTGATTATGGCATTAACTGCATTTTCCAGCCCATCCCCAACAAACCTTAACACCCTTGTGGTTCAAGAATCTATTTAACTTATCTATTTAACATTGAATATTTTCAATGCCCCTGTCTCCACTATGTGCTGCAGAAGGGAACTCCAAATATTTACCAATCTCAGAGAAGAGATTCCCCCTCACCTCTGTTGTTATGACCAGGTGAGGGGATAACTATGTTTTCTCTTTTCTTGCTCCTGTTTGACCGCAATAATGTTGTAAATTTAAAAGCAAGATGTTGTACTGCTGATTCAATATGTACCTAGGCTGTGTGCAGATTGTGAGAATTAAGCCAGACACATATGAACAAGTTTTATTTAGTTTTGTTGCTAAAACCCATTCAGGTAAAAGCATTGGAAAGAATGTTTAAAAAATGTCCAGATGTATCTTACTTCCCACTAATGTGCATAAACATATACACTGTCCAAGTATACAAAAATTAAATGCAGGTTTACAGAGTTTGTGGTGTTAAACTTGGCCAAGTTGTGAATGCAAATTTTAAAAGAAAAAGGAAAGTTATTGAAAATTCACCATGTTATGCCCATGTTTAGGTTTCACTAAAGCATTTGCTTTACACTAATTGCCGGTAGATTCCTTTCTCCTGGGATCATTGTTGCTTGGTTGAAATCTTCCTTTAAGATTCTGTGTTTACAGCAAGGAGGTTCTGATTAATTTTCAAGCCTAAGACAGGGCTCATGGCTTTCTTGAATGTCTGAGAGTCAGAGAGAGAGGGTTAAAGCATTGCCCTTGTTAGTCTGTATCTACCTATGTTTGTAAGTTCAAATCCAACAGTCAGGTATAAAAGAACTAATCTCTCTCCATGTCATTTGCTCTCTTTATTTTTATGCTTTGTACCAAGGTTATGTACCTAGGTATCTTTGTGCCTAAGATGGCGCAGCAAGTGGGTGACTTGTAAACTTTTCACTGTACTCACGTGAGTACATGTCACAATGAACCTAATTCGATAACTCAGTTTTAAATGTTGCAGCCATTACTCCTGAATAATCCATCCTTCATCTTGATGTGATAAGCGGAAGCTGCAAACATCTCCACTGGTGCCATTGTCTGTGACGAGGTCTCCATGGGCATATCTCCATGGAGTAGAATGTGGCTTCATAGGCACACATTAGCAACTACTTTATTCAGTGACCTTGGTTTAATAAATGTGTCTTTTTAACAAAACATTCCAAAGGTGACCAGCTGTTGAAATTACATTTAATCTTGGTATTACCAATTAAATGTTTTTAAATTGATCCCCCTAGTTTTAGATTCCCTCCCCCTGCCTCAGTCACCATGAGAGAAAACATCCTTCAACATATATCCTAAATAGCCCCCTCAGAATCTTGAATGTTTGAATATGGTCACCTTCTTCTAAACTCTAATGAGTATAGGCCCAACCTACTCCATCTTTCCTCATAAGACAAACCCATCTTTCCAGAAATCGCCTTCTCTGAATGACAGAACTTGAGTTCTGAGGAAGGGTCACCGGACCCAAAACATTAACTCTGTTTTTCCCTTCACAGATGCTGCCAGACCTGCTGAGCTTCTCCAGCAACTTTGTTTTTGATACAGTTTCCTATGCTTGATTAACAAATCATGGAGTACAAGAGCAAGAAGGTTATGTTAAACTCGTCTAGGAAACTGGTTCGGCCTCAGCTATGGCATCCACATCTGGGTGCCATTGAAGGAAAGGCGTGAAAAAGTTAGTGAGGATGAAGGAAAAATAATGAAAATGGATCCAGAGCTTAGGAGCTTCAGTTACTTAGATAGTTTGAAGAAACTGATACTGTTTTCCTCGTAGAAGGGAAGGTTGGGCGTAATTTGATAAGGTGTTCAAAGTTGTGACAGATCTGGCAGAGTAGATAGGGAAAATCTATTCCCATTAGTAGATGGATTGATAATAAAAGGGCACAGATATGAGATGTTTTTCTTGATTCTTTCATGGAATGAATGTGTTATTGGCCAGGCCAACATTGTTGTCCATCCCTAACTGTCCTTGAACTGAGTGGCTTGCTAGGCCATTTAAGAGGGTAATAAAGAGTCAACCACATTGCTGTGGGTCTGGGGTCACAAATAGGCTAGACTAGGTGAGGATGACAGATTTCCTTGCTTAAAAGACATTAGTGAACCAAGTGGTCTTTACAACAATTGGTACAATAATTGCATGGTCAATGTTACTGAGACAAGCTTTATGATTCCAGTTTAATTAAGTGAATTTAAATTCATCTGAATGTGGACCAAGGTTCAGGCCATTTAGCCTCTCAAGCCTGCCCTGCCTTTTAAAAATATCATGACTGATCTGATTGTAACCTCAAATCTACATTCCTGCCTGCCCTGAATCCCTGATATCCTTTAGCTCAATTGCTTATCAAGACTCTTTCCACTTCTGTCTTAAAAATATTCAAAGTCTCTTTCCATCACCTTTTCAGGTAAAGCGTTACAAAGATTCATGACCCTCCGTGAGAAAAAGTTTGCCTAATCTTTTTAAAATTGGTGACCCCTTATTTTTAAGCCATGATCCTTTGTTCAATGTTCTCCCATAAGAAGAAACATCCTTTCCATATCTACCTTATCAAGACCTCTCAGAATCTTATGTTTAAATCAAGTTGTCTCTTGTTCTTCTAAAGTCCAGCAGATACAAGACTATCCTGTTCAACCTTTCCTCATATGACAACCCACTCATTCCAGGTATTAGTCTGGTACACTTTCTCTGCACTTCTAACGAATTTAAATCCTTTAAATCAAATCAGGTGACCAGTACAGTGCACAGTACTCTAGCTGCCATGATGGGATCTGAATCCATGTCCCCAGAGTTTAGCTGAGGCTTCTGCATTACTGCTCCACTACCATTGCTACTACTTCACTGTTTTCCCATTGGCAAAAGAAGCAATGGAGGCATGATGAGAACCTTTTTCACACAATGACTGGTGAAGGAGGAGCAAATGATGGAGAATTGTGGCCAGGGTGAGGACCCTATGACATGCAGTCAGCTTCATTGAGAGGAGCAGGTGAAGTGAGGACCCTCACAGAGAAGCAGTCAGACCAGTTGCAGACCTGAGTGGAACTCGGGACATAAGCAAGAACAAGATTTTTCTAGTCCATCCTTGAGTAGGAGCAAGGGTATCATAAAAGCAAGAGGGTCGATATCCTATTTATTATATGTCCGAGCAGCTTAGGCCTGTGATTTGCACCTCCTGAACTATGTGGAAAATCCTAACTTCTCTTGGCTATCTGGATAACTATGTTTGTGGAGATGCCTCTGGTTGGAGCAACTCAAGCTCAAGGTTTGGGAGCTTGAGTGGCAGCTGGGGGTGTCATGGTACATTTGCAAGACTGAAAGTTTCATGGGTAGCACATTTCAGGATATGGTCACCCTGTGGTTTAAGGAAGTGTAAGCAGAGAGAGCTCCTTTGGCAAAGCTGTTGCTGCCAGAGCACCAAGGAATGCACTTGGCTGTGCAAGTGCAGCCAATGTCTCTCTAACATCTCCTGGAAAAAAAAACAAATATGCTGGTGGGAACCCAGTGCGCCCAAGATCTACCCCAAAGTGGCAGTAAGGGATTGGAGAATTCTTTGGTCCTTTCAAACAGCCTGGAAAGGAGAATACAGAACCCTCAGATGTCAGCAGTAGCAAGGCCGGAACAAGTAAAGCTCCAAGGACGGCACATGTTCCACCCGAGGACTCGGAGGAAGCGGCTTCAGATGAAGGGAACTGAATACAACTTGCCCACCACTGTGTCTAATACTTGAACAGATCTTCTTGACGTGTATATTTGTATATATGTCTATTGCTATGTAGTATGGATTTCTTAGTTGTCTTGTACAGTTAAAATACCATTAAAGCCATAACTACAGAACCAATTTAAAAATTACGAGCTGAGTATTTTGGTCCAGGGCCAGTGGTCCCTCAGCTAAATGAGACTTTCTATCTACATAATTATTTGTTTTATTATACCTTTTTGACTTGTACTCATGTTGATGGGTGGGGTTAAAAATGAAATTTTTCATGAACCAAGGCCTATAACCTATTGTTTTAGTGGCCTTGCTGTATCTTTACAATTTATCTTTTTATAATAAATTTTAAGCAGTGACAAACTTAAAAAAAAACAAAAAATTTGGGCGGCTCAGTGGTTAGCACTGCTGCCTCACAGTGCCAGGGACCTGGGTTCGATTCCACCCCTGGGTGACTGTCAATGTGGAGTTCATACATTTTCCCTGTGTCTGCATGGGTTTCCTCCAGCTACTCTGCTTTCCTCCCACAGTCCAAAGGTGTGCAGGGTAGGTGGATTGGCCATGCTAAATTGCCCGTAGTGGTTAGGGATGTGTAGATTAGGTGGGTTATAGAGGGATGGGTCTGGGTGGGATGCTCCAAGGGTCAGCGTGAACTTGTTGGGCCGAAGGGCCTGTTTCCACACTGTAGGGATTCTATTCTATGAATGGTTGACTGCCAGACAGAGAAAGGGGACCATGCAGATAATGAAAGAATTTTGTAAAGTGCAACTCACTTGCAAACTATTTTCAGCCTTGGAAAATGGTAAGAGAGACTGTTTCTCTGTGAAGACCAGTATCAAGAGCCAAATCTGTGTTACTGCAGTTGGGCAACTGCTCTGGGGATTGGTGAGGGTGGGTGAGTATGGTTGGGCAGTAATAAAAGGGGATTCGTTAGTGAGGGATGTAGACAGGCACTTCTGCACCTTACAAGTGACTCCCAAGATATATGTTGCCTCCCGGGTACGAGAGTCACAAATGTCACGGAACAAATAAAGGGCATTCTGAAGTGGGTTAAGCAGCCAGAAGTTGTAGCTCATGTTGGGACAAATGGTATAGGAAGAAAGAAGAATGAGCTCCCGCAAAGCAGACTTTAGGGAGTCAGGTAGGAAATTGGAAAGCGAGACGTCAATGGTCATGGTCTTTAGATTACTCCCAGTTACAGGCAGGAGTGAGTAGAAGGATAGAGCAGATAAATATATGGCAAGAGAGGTAGTGCAAGAGAGAGGACTTTAGATTCATGACAGATTGCTACTGTTTATGGATATAAAGGAACATCAAGGGTAGAATTAAGAAAAAGAAGCAGCTTATGGCATATACAGAGGGATCAATAAGGCAGACTCCCTCGAGGAATATAGAAAGTGTGGGGCGATATTAAAAAGGAAGTGAGGAAAGCAAAGACAGTGCATGAGAAAGCATTGATGGATAGAATAACAGAAAATCCAAAGGGTTTTTTAAAAAAAGGATGTAAAGGGCAAGAGACAACTAGGTAAAGAGTAGGGATCAATCAGGACCATAGTGGTAATCTGTGCATGAACCCAGAAGACAAGGGTGCAGTCTTCAGTGAATATTTTGTGTCAGTCTTCACAATGAAAATGGGACGACACAGGTATAGACATTAGGGTGGAGCATGATAAAATATTTGAAGAAATTAGCATAGAAGGAGGAAGTACTGATGGGTTTGCCAGCCTTATAAGTGGATACATCAACAGGCCTGGATGTATACCTGGCTGTCAGGGGAGGAGAGATCAGGAGATAAAGACGTAATGCTGCAGATGCTGAAAATCTAAAACAAACATACAGAATGCTGGAGAGACTCAACAGCTCTTGTAGTGTTTGTAGAGAGGGAAACAAAGTTAACATTTTGGGTCTGGTATGATTCTTCTGCAGAACTGAAAGGTGTTGGAAAATTTTTTTTATACTTACGACAGAGGCAGAGGCCAAATTCTTTCAATTCTGAAGAAGAGTAATGCTGAGCTTGAAATGTTAACTCTGTTTCTCACTCCACAGATGCTGCCAGATGTGATGAGTTTCCCCAGCATTTTCTGTGTTTGTAGGACATGTCAGAGCCCCTGGCAGTAAGTTTCAAATCCTCTGGCCAGAAGTGCCGGATGACTGGAGGATTTCTAATGTAATCCATTATTAAAAATAGGATATGGGTTTGACCAGGAAACTGGGGGGAATGAGTCATGAGGGGAATACCCTTAAATTACAGGGGAATATCAATAGACTTGTCAGGTGGGCAGAACAGTGAAAAATTGAATTCAACCCAGAAAAGTGTGAGGTAATGCACTTGGTCGGGAGGCGGGGGGGGGGGTGCGATGGGCTAACAAAGCAAGGGATTGCACAGTGAATGATAGAATCCTGAAAGTTATTGATGATCAGAGGGATTTTGCTGTGCATATCCACAGATCCCTGAAGGTAACAGCCAGATAGAATTGGTGATTAAAAAGGCTTATGGGATACTTTCCTATAGTAGCGGAGGTATGGATTGGAAGAGCAAGGTCCCCAGCCCTGATATTCACAGTGTGAGATGTAGAAAGTAGGAGTAGGCCATTCAGCCTTTCGTGCCTGCTCTGCCATTCAATAGGATCATGGTTGATTCCCTGTCTAAATGCCATACCCCTATACTCTCTCTTCATACACTGGAAATGTACTATACATGTGGTCACCCTGGACACAGGAAGTGTCCCTGATTTCCCACATCTCAAAGGAGGAGCATTTTACCTCTGGCCAAGTTGTCTTGCCATTACTTGCTCTTAAAATACTCTCTGTTTACTTCATCTAGTATAAAGAATGTTAATATATGCCAGGGAGCTGGTGTATTCAAGAGGGTATTAGATCATTATCTGAAAAAGGAAGAATCAAAGTTATTCAGAAAAGCCAAGAGGATGACCCTGACTGAATTGCTCGTTCAGAGAGACAATGGGACAGATGGTCTGTGTTGTAGTAGTTCTGAGATTGTATCTACTCAGTGCTTCCAGTTCCATGCAGAGGTGATTCACCAGGATGTTACCTGAGCATTATACCTATGAAGATAGATGATATAGGGTGGGGTTGTTTTCCTTAGAGTAAAGAAGGCTGAGGAGGAACCTGATTGAGATCGATAAAATTATGAGAGGCATAGATAGGGAGAAACTTCTCCTTTCAGTAGAGCGGTCAGTAACCAGGGCCTATACATTTAAGGTAAGGAGCAGGGGCTTTGGGGTCACTGGAGGAAGAATTTTTTGATATCTAGAATTTGTTGCCTCAAAGGACAGTAGAGGCAGGAACAGATGAAAAGTATTTAAATGAACACTAGAAATTCCATACCATACAAGTCTGTGGGCTAAGTGCTGAAAAATGGGATTGGAGTAGATAGGCACTTAATGACTGGTGCAGAGACATTGGAACAAATGATCCAGTTTCCTCTACTGTACAACTTTGATTCTAGACATAGTCTTATTGCTGTAGCCACACTAGCCTACTTTTTATAGTCTGGTTCCATAAATGTGATATTGCAACAATTCCAACCCTTAACTGGGGAGCATATCTCTAATTCTGTCATTATCTTTCAAAATTATGTTTTGTAACATCCACTGGTTAAGCGTTTTAGTGAACCTTTTAGAGCATGATTTGAATCTCCTGTTTATATTTAGGAGATATTAGAAATACTACATTCGATTTATTTTTAAAGTGAAGCAGATGAGCTATTTTGAGAAATAAATGACTTTATTCCCCAAAGGTGTGCTAAGCTTAAAAAGGGAGCTGGAAGTGGCTCCAGACCAAATCCCCTTCAAATATATCAAGAAGACAGCCTAGACCCTAACTTTTATCTTATTTAAAGGCAAACGTAAGGTGCTGTGTTCCAGATGTAATTTGATCGATTACACTTCTTGACTTTGAACAAAACGTACTTTATTCTTACCCTCCAGTTAAAATACAAACAAAAGAAGAATTGGAATAACTTTAACTCTATTGGAAAAATTAATAGAGTAATAGATTATTTAACTACTAAGCAGCAACTATTCCAATGTAGTAACATCCCATAAACATACCCTTAGCAAACGCAAATGCAGTAAAATAGATTGTCTCACATGCAATGTTTCTCCAATCCAAGAGAAAAGAACATCAAGAGAAGGATGGCACGGTGGCTCAGTGGTTAGCACTGCTGCCTCACAGTGCCAGGGACCTGAGTTTGATTCCAACCTCGGGCAACTGTGTGGAGTTTGCACTTTCTCCCCGTGTCTGCTTAGGTTTCCGCCGGGTGCTCTGATTTCCTACCACAGTCTAAAGATGTGCAGCCTAGGTGGATTGGTAATGCTAAATTGCCCATAGTGTTCAGGGATGTGTAGATTGTGTGGGTTATAGGAGGATGGGTCTGGGTGGGATGTTTGAGGAGGTTCAGCATGGACTTGTTGGGCCAAAAGACCTGTTTCCACACTGTAGGGATTCTATTGGAAATTGTTTTTCTATAGCAGAGAGATGTATCAGCTTCCAATGCCATTTCAAACCCCGGCAACTACTGAAAGCTAAACTGAAACCCAGGTTCTGTGGGAACCTGACTCCATCCATTCATGCTGCTTCTATTGTTCCAACTTAAAAAAAATCCCAACGTCTCACACAAGATGATCACTTTATTGGCTTGGAATAGGCCACTGGGCACCTCTGTCTCAACACCTTTTCATTGAAAAAAAGGACAAAATACACCTCTTAAAGTCATAGTATCATCACACAACTCCCACTCCTAATTCCTATGTTCTCATGTAGCAAGCAGATTTGGCAGCATCAGTGGAGAAAAAGCAGAGTTAATGTTTCAGATCTAGCACCTTTCTTTAGTACTGAGTTTTCTCTCCACAGAAGCGGCAGACTTGCTGAGCTTTTCAAGCAATTTTTGTTTTTGAACCTGAATGACTGGTTATCTGTACTATTTTCTAGCAGTGGAGTAGCAATCTGTGGCTGAATTTTAGCTTTACAGTAGAGGTTTTATTGTATTGTGAGTTCTTAAACTCAGCTGTCCTTCGGGGCTGCAAGAGCAACAGATGTTTCCTAACTGAAATCCACCACCTGGACTGTTGACAAGAAGCTCATGAATTGGGCCAAGGGTATGTTGGATGACAAGCATGATCAGGGGACCAGCGAACCTCTAAGTCAGGAAATAGTATAAGGCTTGGGAGGGGCTAAATTGAGGAAGAAACAAAACAGATGAAACATTGCGAAATTGTGGCCTGTTTACAGGATGATAAGTGAATGGGACAAAAATGGAATGGGAGGTTTTAACTTCTTCACAGTCAGCAAGGATCCTGCTTTTAGATTTTTAGCTTTAGATATTTTCTAATCAACCTGTCCAGAAATGTTATTGTACACCTGTGGGGTATGGAACTTGAACCTCGACTTCCTGGTGCTACCAGTGCACCATTAGAGCCCTCTAGGGAATGCAAGGATGTCTTAGCTTACTGCGTTACCACTATTCACACTACTGATGTGGCTTGTTTCTGCCCTATACCTTTGGTTGCTAACTTGACTAAGGTTTGGAACTCACATTCTGGGTTATTGGTGCAAAATTGTATTTTCCCATTCTGGGCCAGAATATTAACTTATCAATCAAATGTGCAACTGTTATGTCATTTTTGATGCTTTGGTAAGTCAGCATCTTTCTTGAACTAATTTCATTTTATTCTCTGCTTAATGCAGCCACCTTATCCATCCCCTTCAGGGGCTCCATTACCAAAGAAGACATACGTAAAAGCTGAAAAGGTGAACTATAACATGTATGAGGAGTATGAGGATGATCAGTATGTTGACTATGAAGAAGAGGATGAGCAAGTGCCAGATGAGGAAGAAGAAGATTACGATGATTTTGCCAAGGAGTTGAGCCAATACAGGAAAGCAAAGGAGGCTTCTCAACAACAACACCAACACCAGCAGCCGCAGTCCCATTTGCCCATGGGACACAATAGGGGGCGTGGAGCATCAGGTATAGCTTGCAGAAAATTGAAATTTTGTGTGTACTTTTCTATGCCTTCAGTTTGTTTTCCATATTCTGAGGCAGTGGCCAATATTTGGGTATATTGTAATGAGCCCATTTATTACACTGGTTGGTTCACTATTCATCTGTAACGAGGCACGAGGCTTGACTGTCGGAGCTTAACATTGAGCCACTATCCTGTCCTCACGCTCAAGTCTTTCCATTAGAAGTTATTGGGTGACAGTCAGCCGTGGGAGTGGTCATCTTCTTGGTTCAGGGGTGTTAGAATTGCAGAGTCTCAATGTCCTCCCCCATTTCTATGATGTCTCCTGGTTCTGCATGCCTCTTAAGCTTTCTACATTCCTCCAATCTGACCTCTGGCACAGTCTAAATTTTCATCATTCCAACTTTGAAACTATTTGCATCCTAAACTCTTGAATTACCTATTTGAATTTCTTGACCTGTGCTCTTTTATGGTACTCCTTAATGTCAAGTAGGATCTAAGCCTACTGGTGATTCAGAACTCAAGAAACCTTTCCCTTGTGATAGAGTTTATTATTTGAGCAGTTACGTAGCTCATACCACATCTCTTAGAATCACCTATAACCCCTTTATTGTACTATTTTGTAATCAAAATTTGGGTCAGTAGACTAAGCAACTAGTTTGGGGATCAACTTAATGCTAACATTGCAGGGTTCAAAACCCTGCTTTCTCTGAGAGGTGTAGGGCGGCACGGTGGCTCACTGGTTAGTACTGCTGCCTCACAGCTCCAGGGACCCAGGTTCGATTCCAACCTCAGGCGACTGTGTGTGTGGTGTTTTCACATTCTCCCCATGTCTGCTTGAGTTTCTGCCGAGTCCTCTGGTTTCCTCCCACAGTCCAGAGATGGGCAGGTTAGGTGGATTGGCAGTGCTAAATTGCCCATAGTGTCCAGGGATGTGCAGGCTAGGTGGGTTAGCCATGGGAAATGCAGGGTTACGGGGATGGGTCTGGGAGGGATGCTCTTTGGGGCTTGGTCGGTGTGGACCCGTTGGGCCGAATGGCCTGTTTCCACACTGTAGGGGTTCTCTGGTTTGGTTCTAACACCATTCCACAAGAACCCAATTAGACCAATACCCCAATCAGCCGCTTAACCTTTGGTTTAATGGCAGATTCTTCTTGTAGAGTCAAGGAGTTCTACACCATAGACGAGTGGAAAGGAGCAGTTAGGTCACTTGACTAAGTAACTAGTTTGTGGAGCCGTTAGGAAAATTGATTAAGCAACTAGTCTGGGGTCCGGTGAACGAAGGAAGGTTCTGAGGAAGGGTCACCGGACCCAAAAAGTTAACTCTGTTTTCTCCTTTACAGATGCTGCCAGACCTGCTGAGCTTTTCCAGCAACTTTGTTTTTGTTCCTGATTTACAGCATCCGCAGTTATTTTGGTTTTTAACTAGTTTGGGGACTAGCTTAATGGTGACATTACAGGTTTATACCCGAAACATTGACTGCTCCTTGCTTTCCCTGAGATGCAGGGCCTACATCCTTAGGCAACCAGGAGTAAAAATATTATAGCACAGAAAAAGGCCCTTGGCCCATTATGTACATGCCAGTCAAAAATGACCACCTAACTATATTCACACAAAATTTTCAAAGACATACAAACAGTCTTTCAACAGAAACATGAAAAATAAACAATTTTTTCCACATTATACATCTTAAAAACATCCTTCCATATTCCCCCTTTCTTTAAACAAACAAAAATACTTACAAAGCTTAGCTTTCTTTTACCTTACATATTCTTGTACCTTCACATATCACCAGCTATCTCTCTTCAAGGATCTTCAATAATTTCCTGAAACAAGTGCCTTTTTTTTTGTAAAGCAGTCTTGGCAATTAGCAACTTGGATCCATCCACTTTATGTCAGTGAAGAACAATTATTATTCTCATCTACCAAGAATATTACAGGTCCTGCCCTACCCAAAAGATCCCTCTGGAAGATTGGCATGTGAACCATCACTGAAAAGAACTAATTTCATATTTTCTGAATTACCCAAGGGTGGAAACCTGAGAATGCATTTTTCTGAATTTATTTTCAATATTTCAGTATTTTAATATTTTATTACTAATAGGTTTTTTGGTCTTAAGGCTTCCTCATCAGTAGCCTGCTTCATCATTGTACTCATCCTAAAAATTTAGGTTAGATGGTGGCCTAGTGGAATTACTGATAGACTATTAATCCAGAAAGCTAGGTAATGTTCTGGGGATATGGCTTCGAATATCGCATGGCAAATGGTGGAATTTGAATTCAGTACTAATTCGGAAATAATAAGCTAATGATGATTATGACACCATTATCAATTGTTAGGAAAACCCCATCTGGTCCACTAATGTCCTTTAGGGAAGGAAATCTGCCATCCTTAGTTGGTCTGGGCTACATGTGACTCCAGATCCACAGCAATGTGGTTGACTCTCAACTGCCCTTTAGGAAATTGGGGATAGGCAGTAAATGCTGGCCTAGCTAGTGATGCTCACATCCCATGAAAGAATAAAAAATCTCTGCTCTAATACGCTGTAACAAGCATTAGCTCTAGTCTAAGTGCAGAACCAGTCAGATTTCTTAATTGATTTGTTTGTTTTCTAAGTGCTAAATCATGTTTCTTTGACCTGTCCTGATTTATCAGGATGGGATTAACACTTTTCAAGCAAGACTGTTGATTAAAAGTTACATCTGATTTATTCTGGTTAATATACAAGTTTGTGTATTTAAAGGCCCCCAAAGTCTGATTCCAACTTCAAATTCCCTTTTTATTGTATCTTCCACACCACTCAAAGTCAATAGAACCTTCCCACAGAAAATCAACAATGTGCATCATAAATTGCCTGCCAGATCTGTTCATGATCCAACCAATTTCCAGAAGGACAGCACCTGAGAAAATTTAAACCCTTCCTGCATCATTCAACTTATAGGAGTACCGGCTTAACTCCCAAAGCTTCTCTTCTGTATGCATTCAAGAGGGCACAAGGTGATTATTTAAATAGAAACAATAGTCAGAATTATGGGGAAAGAACAGAAGAATGACACTTAATTATAATACTTATTCAGAGAGGTGGTGCAAGCACAATGGGCTGGAAGGCCTCCTCTAGTGCCATTACAATTCTGTGGTTCCGTGATCACCTTCCTTAGGTGTTTTTAAAAAATGCATCCTTTTGACACTTTTCACCTTGTGGAAATGCTTTTATATTGATTGACTTACTTTGCCAGGGATATGTTGTAAAGAGGTGAGAAGATCTTCAAGTTCACTTTTCCTGTAGTAAGGGAAACCACTCCAATGTCTTGATTGCCGAGCCTTTCTTTGAAATCCCAAGCTACAAGAATGGCTTTAATCTTATATGTTCCATCAGGAATACTTTTTGTTAGCATATTCATCTGTATGATAAGGTTGGCTATCCACTGAACCAAATTCATCCCAGCTGTCCAATTGTCTACTTTTGGCTTCTTTCAATAAGTTACCTTCTAATTTTTTTGTAGCCACTAAAGCATCTTGATCGTAAAGTCTTTAAATTCCGATGGAATTCTCAGTCCTTGTTCTTGTCAAACTATGATCTCTGCAAAACAAAAAGCAAAAGAACTGTGGATGCTGGAAATCAGAAACAAAAAACACTACAGGTCTCTCAGTATATGAGGGGAGAAATCAGAGTTAACTTTTTGGGTCCAGTGACCCTTCTTCAGAACAGTGGTCCCTGGCAAGTCATGCTGCCTTGTTCAGGACTTCTGCTACAAGATCTCCCCCTCCTATGAGTAGAATTCCTTTCCCAAGTTCACAATTTTTTCCCAAGGGCCATATTCATTTCCAGGTCTATTTTGAGAATTTTTACTGTGTGTTCTGGTCTTACACATGTTTACCTCATTTTGCCAATTAAGGATATTACCCCCTATCCCTCACCATGCACATTTAAGCAGTGTTTGTACTTAGGCTGTCTTTCCCTACTCTTATAATGGTGACATTCCTTCATTCATTAGACCCTTATGGCATGTATGTTACTTTTTTTGGTGCCTACTTTTGGTCGTTGTCCTCTGGGACAGATAGCCTTGTCCTGGGTTTCCTTACCACCTTGCCCATCCTCAGCTGGCCATTCGTAGAACACAGAACAGTACAGCACAGTACAGGCCCTTCAGCCCATGATGTTGTGCCGACCTATTACCCTACTTTAAGGTCAAACTAACCTGCATACCCTTCATTTTACTATCATCCATGTGCCTATCCAAGAGTTGCTTAAATGTCCCTAATATATCTGACTCTACTACCACCGCTGGCAGTGCATTCTGTGTAAAGAACCTACCTCTGACATTCCCCTATACTTCCTCCAATCACCTTGAAATTATGCCCCCTCGTGATAGCCATTTCTGCCCTGGGAAAAAGACCCTGGCTATCCGCTCTACCTATGCCTCTCATCATCTTGTACATCTCTATCGAGTCACCTCTCATCCTTCTTTGCTCCAATGAAAAAAGCTTTAGCTCCCTCAACCTTTCCTCATAAGACCTGCCTTCCAGTCCAGGCAGGATCCTGGTAAATCTCCTCTGTACCCTCTCTAAAGCTTCCATATTCTTCCTAAAATGAGACGACCAGAACCAAACACAATATTCCAAATGTGGTCTAACCAGGGTTTTATAGAGCTGCAGCATAACCTCGCGGCATAACCCCTGCCAATGAAAGCTAACACACCATATGCCTTCTTAACAGCCCTGTCAACTTGGGTCGCAACTTTCGTGGACTTGGACCCCAAGTTCCCTCTGTTCCTTCACACTGCCAAGAATCCTTCCATTAACCCTGTATTCTGCATTCAAATTCGACCTTCCAAAATGAGTCACTTCACACTTTTCTGTGTTGAATTCCATCTGCCACTTCCTTGCCCAGCTCTGCATCCTGTCAATGTCCTGTTGCAACCTATAACAGCCCTCCACACTATCCACAACTCCACCAACTTTCGTGTCATTGGCAAGCTTACTAACCCACCCTTCAACTTCCTCATCCAAGTCATTTATAAAGATCACAAAGAGCAGATGTCCCAGAACAGATCCCTGCAGAACACCACTTGTCACCGAGCTCCAGGCTAAATACTTTCCATCTATTACTACCCTCTGTCTTCTATTGGTCAGCCAATTCTGTATCCAGATAGCCAAATTTCCCTGAATCCCATACCTCCTTACTTTCTGAATGAGCCTACCATAGGGAACCTTATCAAACACCTTGCTAAAATCCGTATACACAACATTCACTGCTCTACCTTCATCAATGAGTTTTGTCACATCCTCAATGAATTCAATAAAGCTTGTGAGGCATGACCTGCCCCTCTCAAAGCCATGCTGACTATCTCTAATCAAACTATGCTGTCTCTCAGAATCCTGTCCGATAATTTGCCCACTATAGAAGTAAGACCGATTGGTCTGTAATTCCCAGGGTTATCCCTATTCCCTTTCTTGAACAAGGGAATAACATTTGTCACTCTCCAATCATTTGGTACTACTCCAGTGGACAGTGAGGACGTAAAGATCATCGCCAAAGGCGCAGCAATCTCTTCCCTAGCTTCCTGTAGTAACCTTGGATATATCCCGTCTGGCCCAGGGGACTTATCTATCCTCATGTTTTTCAAAATTTCTAGCTGACCCTTCTTCCCAATATCAACCTGTTCGAGCATATCAGCCTTTGTCACGCTGCCCTCACAAATGAAAAGTTCCCTCTCACTAGTGAATACTGAGCAAAGTATTCATCAAGGACCTCCCCTACCTCCTCCGACTCCAGGCACAAGTTCCCTCCACTATCCATGATCGGCCCTACCCTCACTCTGACCGTCCTCTTGTTCCTTAGATAAGTATAGAAGGCCTTGGGGTTTTCCTTAATCCTACCCACCAAGGCTTTTTCATGCTCACTTCTAGCTCTCCTTAGTCCATTCTTCAGTTCCTTCCTGGATACCTTGTAACCCTCTAGAGCTCTGTCTGATCCTTGCTTCCTCAACCTGAAATAAGCTTTCTTCTTCCTCTTGACGAGATGTTCCAAATGTCTTGTCATCCCAAGGTTCCTTCACCTTATCATCCCTTCCTTGCCGCCTTGGGACAAACTTATCGAGCACTCACAGCAAGTGCTCCTTGAACAACCTCCACATTTCTGTTGTGCATTTCCCTGAGAATATCTGTTCCCAATTTATGCTGCACAGTTCCTGACTAATATCATTGTAATTCCCCCTCCCCAAATTAAATACTTTCCCATACTGTCTGCTCCTACCCCTCTTCATGACTATAGGAAAGATCAGGGAGTTGTGATCACTATTTCCAAAATGCTCTCCCACTGAGAGATCTGACACCTGGCTTGGTTTGTTGCCAAGCACCAAATCCAATATGGCCTCCCTGCTAGTTGACCTATCTTACATATTGAGTCAGAAATCCTTCCTGGACACACCTGGCAAAATCTGCTCCATCTAAACTATTTGCACCTAGGAGGTTCCAGTCTGTATATTAGGGAAGTTGAAGTCACCCATGACAACAACCCTATTACTTCTGCACCTTTCCAAATTCTGCCTCCCAATCTGTTCCTCAGTGTTTCTCTTGCTACTGGGGGTCCGTAGAAAACTCCTAATAAAGTGACTGCTCCTTTCCTGTTTCTGACTTCCACCCATATTGATTCAGTAGACAAACCGTCCTCAACGACCTCCCTTTCTGCAGCAGTGATACTATCCCTGATTAGCAATGCCAACCCCCACCTCTTTTACCTCCCTCCCTACTTCTTTTGAAACATCTATACTCCAGAACATCCATCAACCATTCCTGCCGCTGTGATATCCAAGTCTCCATAATGGCCACAACAAGTACTGATCCATACTCTTAAGTTTATCACCCTTATTCCTGACACTTCTTGCATTAACATAGACACACTTCAACCCTTCACACTGACTGCAACTTTGCCCTATCAACTGTCTATCCTTCCTCACAGACTCTCTGCATGCTGTATCTGCCTGTACACCAGCTATCCCATCCTCTGATCCATAGCTCTGGTTCCCATCCCCCACCAAACTAGTTTAAACCCTCCCAAAGAGCTCTCGCAAACCTCCCGCCCAGGATATTTGTGCCCCTCCAGTTCAGGTGCAACCTGTCCCTCTTGTACAGGTCCCACCTTCCCCAGAAGGTATTCCAATGATCCACATATCTGAACTTCTCCCTCCTACACCAGCTTTGTAGCCACGTGTTCAGCTGCACTCGTTCTCTATTCCTAGCTTCATTAGCCGGTGGCACCAGTAATAATCTTGAGATTGCTACTCTGCTCAACCAGCCTTTTAGCTTCCAACCTAACTCCCTATATTCACTTTTAAGGTTCTCATTCCTTTTCCTAGTATGTCATTGGTACCGCTGTGTACCACGACTTCTAGCTGCTCACCCTGCCCCTTAAGAATCCTGTAGACACAATCGGACACATCCCTGACCCTGGCACCCAGGAGGCAACATACCATTCCGGAGTCTTGTTTGCGACCACAGAATCTCCTGTCTTTCCCCTAACCATTGAATCTCCTATCACTATCGCTCTCCTATTCTCCCCCATTCCCGTTGGAGCCACAGACCCAGGCTCAGTGCCAGAGACCTGGCCGCTATGGCTTTCCCCTGGTAGGTTCCCCGCCCCGAACAGTATCCAAAGCGTTATACTTATTATGGAGGGGAACGGCCACAGGGGATCCCTGCACTGTCTGCCTATTCCCTTTCCCTCACCTGACAGTGACCCAGCTACCTTTATCCTGTAACTTCAGTGTGACTACCTCCCTGTAACTCCCCTCAGACTCCTGAATGATCCGGAGTTCATCCAGCTCCAGTTCCCTAACGCGGTCTGTGAGGAGCTGGAGTCGGGTGTACTTCTCGCAGGTGAAGTCAGCAAGGATACTAGTGGTGGCCCTTACCTCCCACATCCTACAAGAGGAGCATGCAACTGCTCTAGCTTCCATCCCCTCTGCTCTAAATTGCCAAAAGAGAGAAAGAGAAAGAATAAAAAAGAAAAAAGACCCCACCTTACCGACCCTCCACACAGAGTCTAATTTTTGTTAGAGGAGGAGGATGGGTGGGAAACACTATACGTGTAGTGTTATGGGTTTAACCACTGCCCAAATATATTAGTTCACTTACCCAGTAGTCCCCGTGTCCGATTTGCTCCTGCTCAGCCTTTGCTCCACCTATTCACGAGGCAAGTATTTTATACACAAACTTACCTTCCCGACTGCCCCCTGGCTTGCGCTGTCACGACTCCTCCCGCTGAAATTGAAGCTGCCTATTCATGAGGCAAGTACTTTATACACAAACTTACCTTCCCGGCTGCCCCCTGGCAACTTCCATAATTTGACTGTCAGCATTTTCCAATGTGATGTGTATGTGAAGTACATGATACGTCAACAGTATACCATCAGTGTTTATTAACCTTGAGGAACACACCCAACTCGTTTAGTTGCTTTGTTGTAAAATTATTGTTTTGCATTAACACGATTCCACTTTTTCTGCCTTTCTCGTTTGTATTATGCCAAGTGCCTTGGATTAAAATTTATTTTTCATTGCGTTATGCGATGCTGTAAGGCATGTTAAATTTCTTTGAAACCTCAGCCTTAATGAATCCCCTTCTTCCTGAAAGCTGGGAATTGAAGTACTGAAGAAAAAGTGGAATTAATTGTAGTCCCATCCCACTTCAGTGGATGATCATTCATTACTGAAGGAATTTTTGGACTTTTAGCAAAAACCTATTGATATGGAGTGTGGCCCCAAGCATTTCTGCAAGTTCTTTGCATGGACTGCCCATGCCAGAACAGATGTGAATTTAAACTGTGTTGATCAAATAAAATTTTACAAAGCATCTTATCTCTCACCACGTGATTTCTTTCACGCACACTATTACAGATTCATACAGCATGGAAACAGACCCTGCAGTTCAAACAGTCCATGCCAACCATAATCCCAAACTAAACTAGGCCCTCCTGCCTGTGCTTGGCCCGTGTTCTCCAAACATTTCTTATTCATGTACTTACCTAAATGTCTTTTAAACATTGTAACTACCCACATCCACCATTTCCTCTGGAAGTTCATTCCCCACTCGAACGACTCTGAGTTAAAAAAAAAATTGTCCCTTGTGTCTTCTTTAAATCTTTCTCCTCTCACCTTAAAAATATGCCCCCTACTCTTGAAACTCTAGGGAAAAGGTACCTGCTATTCACTTTATCTATCTCCCTCATGATTGTATAAATCTCTTATAAAGTCATCCCTCAACCTGCTATCCTGCAGTGGAAAAAGTCCTAGCCTATCCAGCCTCTCCTTATAACTCAAAAACTCCATTCCTGGCGATACCCTGGTAAATTTCTTCTGATGTCTCTCCAGCTTAATAATATCCAACCCTAGAAACGAGAGACCAGAACTGTACACAGTACTCTACTAACGTCCTGTACAGTCTCAACAAAATGTCCCACCTCCTATACTGAAAGGTCTGAGCAATGAAGGCAAGCGTGCCCTTCAGTGGAATAATCATTACTGATAAAAACGGTATTATGATGCAATGAAAACAAAAAGTGTGCAGAAACCCAACAGGTTTGGCAGCATCTTTGGACAGAGAAACAGTTAATGTTTCGAATGCAATATGATACAACTTTGCGAGACTTTATTTTGCATCTCATTGCAGACATCATTACTCATTTAATAATTTGTTTATTATTATTCCGGTTTGTTTTCAGTGTGTTGTGTTCTTTTATGTTCTACCCTGACTTTATTTTGATTGAAATTCTATTGTTTCTGCTTTCTGCAGGTCCTGGTCGAGGTGGTGGTAGAGGACGTGGTATTCGAGGCAGAGGTGGCCGAGGAAGAGCTAGGGGACGGGGTGGAAGAGGAGGCAGAGGAGGAACACATGGCCAAGTGCATGGACCACAAGGACATGCGTCGGGGCCAGGACATGGACCATCAGAACATGGACCTCCAGGACATGGGCCTGGGCCTGTGCATGGTCCCCAGGGACATGGTCCCCCAGGTCATGCGCAAGGATCAGGACCAGGACATGGGCCCCCTCCATGCCATGGACCTGGGCCTGGTCATGGCCCGCCTCCGTGCCATGGCCCCGGTCCAGGCCACGGACCCCCTCCAGGTCCTGGACATGGACCTGGTTCTGGTCTTGGACCATCAGGACATGGGCCTGGTCCAGCGTATGGATCCCCTGGGCATGGACCTGGACCAGGGCCATCATATGGATCCCCTGGTCATGGTCCTGGGCCAGGACACGGACCACCAGGACATGGACCACCTGGACATATGATGGATCCCATGGTTGAATGTGACGATGATCTTTATGATGAAGATATGCAGGTAAGAGTAAAATCTGAAATTCTTTTTCTGAGAATTGATTATTACTTGATGTGCTGTTACCCCTAAAGAGGTGTGTAAATATACATGTTGCTAAGTCATATAAAAGATATTCATGAAACAAAAGAGAAATTATGTAAATATTATAAAAAGGTCTTTGTGTATTACTTTCTGCTGCCTCTTATAACCAGCCAGCAATGATCTGTCTTGGCAGTGTTTTTCAGCTTTTATTGTATTACTAATACACACTTGCACATTGAGGTAGGTGGAACTTGTCCTGTGCCAGTATGAGCTGCTAACAATTAGGCCCACATGCTTACACGTTGTTTCCAATACCAATTTACCTTCCACTTGTGAGATCTAACTTTTTTTAACGTTGATTTCATTTAACAACTTGGGTAACAGTAATAACTCTTCTGGTATGAAGCAAATATACCAAGCTGCATATGACAGTTCTGTAACTTAAAACATTGGCACACTGATGGATTTGAGGTCATAATGCTCCATACCTTGAGTACTGGATCTCATTGCTTTCCCAGTGGAGTGTACCAAATCTCAATACAGATTTCTCATAGACTGACAGTTATATCTCGCTAAGTGTAATCCATTGAGAACACCAGATCTAATTAGCCACTTTTCAGCAAGAGAGAAGGAAAAATGGCAAACAGATCACCCTGAGATTCCATTATGTGAGTAGGTATAAAGGAACAGATGTATTGGAATTGGCCATGTATTGACTTTCTCGTCCAGCAGTATAATGTTAATTTGTTGTCTTAGACTTCACAGGACCTCAGTACTTCCCTCTGAGCTCTTGTGGCTGCATGTCTGTTTAAAGCACAGAGAACAACTGACACAGTCAGAACTGAATTTCAACTTTGTACAATGTAGAAGAGCACATTATCCAGTGGATAATGTATTTTAATCACTTGAAGACTTATCATTTTCACAGTGCTGGGTGATTTAATGATAATTTCTCTTTTCAGAATAAAGCCCTATCATTAATCACTGTATTAAAAACGTTGATGACTTATACACCATTTCATTATGACATGTAAACTTGTTTACACCTTTCCTATCTTGCCTATCAAATTGTTCCTGCTTCCAAACCAGGACTTCTCCTATGGTTTGTGATATCTTTGAGCTGGTGTAAGTAGCATCACCTTCAAAACTTGCCCAACTCCATTGAAATTTGCAGGGAGTGGAGTGGGATCTGAAATTTTTCAATGGAGCCAACCACTTTAATCTATTCTACTGAAAGTATCTGGCAGTGTGAATGGGGCAGAAATCCTGGAATTGTTTTGGGCCTACCACTTTAATCTCTTTGTTAGGTGGAGTAATTTCAGGCCATCGATTAAGCATATTTTCATGTCCCTTAGTGGGACTTGTTGCTTACAGTAATTTCTTAAATCAACCAGAAACTCTTCCATTTTGAGGAATTTTTCTCTTCACTTGTTTCTGACAACATGCTGGATGAGAAGCTCTGACATTTTCCATTCACTCTTTCTTCGCACATTTTTGTTACCTTCATATTTTGGGTAGCCAAGATTTGGATTCTTTATCAGTTGCTGAGCAATACCTACACATAAGGCACTGTCTTTCATCTTATTATTTCCCATCAATTTGATTGTGATGTTTCCAATAATGTTGATTGAACAAAAGGTAGAAAAACCGCAGTTGCAGTCAGGTACATTATTGACCGCTAGGAATGGTAGGAGAGGTAGCCAGGTAGTACAGGAGTCCTCAGTGGCTATCCCCATCTCAAACAGGTATGCCGTTTTGGAAATTATAGCGGGGAATAGTGTCTCGAGAGTGTAGCAAAGACAGCCAGATTTCAGGTACTGTGAGTAGCTGTACTGTAATGAGGGGTATGTTAGGTTTTAAGTGATCAATTGTAATAGGGGACAGTCCAGTCTGGGACACAGATACACATTTCTGTGGCTATCAGTGAGACATCAGGATGATATGTTGCCTCCCTGATGCCAGGGTCAAGGATATCTTGGAGAATATTCTGAAAGGGGAGAATGACCAGCAGGTGGTTGTTGTGCTCATTGGTACCAAAGACATGGGTAGGGAAAGAGATGAGGTTCTGCATATAGGAAACTAGGCGAAGGTCAAAAAGTAGGTCCTTGAAGGTAGTAATATCTGGACTACTACTGGTGCATTAAACTAGTGAGAGTAAGAGTAGAAGGATAGAGCAGATGAATGTGTGGTTGAGGAGCTGGTGCAGTGTTCCATCTGAATTGGAAGGTGACGAATATCCTTGCAGGGAGATTTACTAGTGCTATTCGGGAGGCTTTAAACTAGTAAGTGTGGGGCAGATGGTGGGAAACAAAGTGATAGTGAGAAAAGGCTGAGGCTGGTAGAGTAGATCAGGGGAGAAAGTCAAATAGTCAAGGCTGACAAGAGCTTGGCAGAGAATGAGGTAAGACTGTAAATTAAGCTGTATTTATTTCAATGCAAGAGGCTTGACAGGTAAGGCAGATAAACTTAGGGCATGGTTGAGAACATGAGACTGGGAATATCACATCCATTATAGAAACATGACTCAGGAATGGACAGGACTGACAGCTTAATGTTCCAGGATATAATTAGTATGGGAAGTATAAAAAGGGAGGCAAGAGAGGAGGGGAGAGGTGTTTTTGGTTAGGGATAACAGTATGGCTGTACTTCAGGAAAATACTCCTGGGAGATTGTCCAGTGAAGTTATTTGAGTCGAACTGAGAAATAAGGAAGGAATGATCATCTTCTTGGGACTGTATTATTGGCTCCCTCAAATAGTCAGTGGGAAATTGGGAAGCAAATACATAAGGAGATCTCAGATATCTGTAAGAATAATAAGGTTGTAATGGTAGGGGATTTTAACTTCCGAAACATAGACTGGGTCTGTCATAGTGTTAAGGGCATGGATGGGGAGGAATTTGTTAAGATTGCACATGAAAACTTTTTTTAATTTAATATGTGGATGTATCTACTAGAGAAGGATCAAAACCTGACCCTCTTGGGAAATAAGACAGAGCAAGTGACTGATATGTCAGTGGGGGAGCACTTTGGGACAGGTGATCATAATTCTGTTAGTTGTAAAATAGTTATGGAAAAGGATAGAACTGATCAAAATTGGAGTAAGGTCAATTTTGATGGTATTAGACAGGAACTTTCAAAAGTTGATTGGGGGAGACTATTCACAGGTAAAGGGACAGTTGAGAAGCCGGAGGCCTTTAAAAATGAGATAATGAGTTCAGAGATAGTATGTTCCTGTTAGTGTGAAGGGCAAGGCTGGTAGGTGTAGGGAATACTGGGTTACTAGAGAAATTGAGGCTCTGGTCAAGAAGAAGAAAGAGGCACATATCAAGTATAGACAGCTGGGATTGAGTGAATCCCTAGAGTAGTATAAGGGCAGTAGAAGTATACTTAAGAGGGAAATCAGGAGGGCAAAAAGGTGCATGAGATAGCTTTGGCAAATAGGGTTGAGGAGAATCCAAAGAGATTCTGTAAGTATATTAAGGGCAAGAAGGTAACTAGGGTGAAAATAGGGGCCCTTAAAGATCAATGTGGCAGTTTATGTACAGAACAACAGGAGATGGGTGAGATACTAAACAAATATTTTGTGCCAGTAATTACTGTGGTGAAGGACATGGAAGCTCAGGAACTTGGGGAAATAAATAGTGATGTCTTGAAAAGAATTCATTTTATTGAAGAGGAGGTGCTGAAGCTCTTAAAATGCATAAAGGTGGATAAATCCCTTGGACCTAATCAGGTGTTTTCCAGAACTTTGTAGGAAGCTAAGGAAGAGATTGCTGGGCCCCTTGCTGAGATATTTGTATCATTGAAAACCACGAGTGAGGTGCTAAAAGACTGGAGGTTGGCTAATGTGGTGCTATTGTTTAAGTAAGCTATAAGGAAAAGCCAAGGAACAATAGACCGGCGAGCCTTACATCAGTGATAGCTAAGCTGTTGGAGGGAATTCTGAGGGAAAGGATTCACATGCATTTGGAAAGGCAAGGACTGATTAGGGATAGTCAACACAGCTTTGTGTGTGGGAAATCGAGTTTCTCTAACTTGATTGAGTTTTTTGAAGAGATGACAAAGAACATTGATGAAGGCAGAGCAGTAGATCTATTATCTTATTTGGACTTCAGCAAAGTGTTGGACAAGGTTCCGCATGGTAAGCTGGTTAGTAAAGTTAGATCACATCGGATCCTGGGGGAGCTGGCTAATTGGATACAGAATTGGCTTGAAGGTAGGAACAGGGTGGTGGTAGAGGGTTGCTTTTCGGATGGGACGCCTGTGACCAGCAATGTGCCATAAGGAACAATGCTGAGTCCATTGCTTTTTGTCATTTGTGTAAATGATTTGGATGTGAATATAGGAGGTATGGTGAATAAGTTTGCAGATTACACCAAAATAGGTGGACAGTGAAGAAGATTACCTCAGAGTACAGTGTCACCTTGATCAGATGGGCCGTTGGGCTGAGGAGTGGAAGATGGAGTTTAATTTAGATAAATGTAAGGTGTCACATTTTGGTTATGCAAATTAGGGCATACTTGTATGGTTAATGGTAGGGCTCTGGGGAGCATTGCCGGACAAAGAGACTTAGGGATGCAGGTGCATAGTTCCGTGAAAGTGGAGTTGCAGGTAGACAGGGTGGTGAAGAAGACATTTGGCACACTTGCCTTCATTAGTCAGAATATTGAGTATAGGAGTAGGGATGTCAGGACACTGGAAAGGCCACTTTTAGAATACTGCATTCAATTCTGGCTGCCCGTCTGTAGGAAAGATGTTGCTAAACTTGAGTGGGTACAGAAAACAACAAAGATGTTTCCGGCACTGCAGGGCTTGAGTTGTAGAGAGAGGCTGAATAGGCGGGGACTTTTTCCCCTGGAGCATTGGATGCTGAGGGATGACCCTATTAAGGTTTATAAAATCATCAGGGGCATGGATAGGGTGAGTAGCCAAGGTCTTTTTCCTAGAGTTGGGGAGTCCAAAACTAGAGGGCATAGGTTTTAAGGTGAGACGGGAAGGACTAAAAAGGACCTGAGGGGTAACTTTTTCGTGCAGAGGATGTATGGAATGAGCTGCCAGTGAAAGTGATGGAGGCAGGTATAAGTACAACATTTAAAAAGCATCTGGATGGGTATATAAATAGGAAGGGTTTAGAGGGAAATGAGCCAGGATGCGGCAAATGGGACTAAGTCAGATTGGGATGTCTGTTTGGTGCGGACAATTCGGACCGAAGGGCCTGTTTCCATGCTGTATGTGACAAAATGCAGCCTGGTATGTTCTCCAGATAATGAAGTGTGAGGGAGTATAAGACATTATTTTGTAATGGGAGTGCACGTCAAGCTATATCTTCGTTTGGTAATAATGAATAATGACATAAAACCATGTTTCTTAGTGTTTTTGATGTCAGTTATACTTCTATTTTCTAATTCAGTTGTACACCAACCCTTGTTGCATCTCTGATTTACACATATTTCTTTTTGACATAGCAGTTGATTGTGTTGAACACGATGAAATCCCTCACTATATCCTCCTGAACCGTTATGTTTTGCTAGGATTTTGGTGAAGCGATGCATAGAAGAAATGTGCATGATCTTGGACATCAGCCGTGTGGAGAGAAGAAAGGGAAAGTACTCTGCAAGTTCTTTGTAGAGGGCAGATGCTCAAAGGTGAGGATGTACATTTAAGAATTACAGCTCCTGTAACTATATTCATAGCTGAGTTAGTTTAGTTATTTTAACATGAACCAGAAACAGAATATGAAACTATATTGTATTAACCAAGTTCACAGTAATCAAGCTGTTCATGTGCATTCACACACCAGATGCTTTAGCTGGGCTGACAGCAGTGATTAAGAATAGAAATGCAATCTGAATATCCCCCTCTATGTCAGAGATGCAGGTATGAATTATAACCAAAACTTCTATCCATAAATCAACACAGACTAGAAATGAAACTCCAGTTTGTTAACCATAGTTTCTGCCCAAAGTTAAGTTTTTAAAAGAATTTAAAATGTGCATACATATGTTAGTATGTTATGTAAATAGTTGCAGCTATTTGTTTCAAATTCAGTGTAATTCTATAACCATGGCTAAAGTAAAACACCACTGTGTACTTGATTTTGCCCTTCATTTTAAGTTGTTTGCATTTTGACTTGGAATAGGAAGGGTTTACAGGAATATGGGCCAAATGCTGGCAAATGGGACTAGATTAGCTTAGGATATCTGGTCAGCGTGGACGAGTCGGACTGAAGGGTCTGTTTCCATGCTCTACAGCTCTATGATTGTGACCATTAAATTATCATTGTTTGCCATGAAAACCCTTATGGTTCTGTAAAACCTTCTAAGAGATGTGCAGTGGGTAGCATCCCTCCCTCTCTCCTTTTGAGCCAGAATGACCCTTGTTCATGTCCAGTTGTAAGACTTGATTGTCACAGAGGTTTTGTGCATAAAGTGGCTACACAGGTTAAGTGCCAACCTGCGAATCCCTACAATGCATCTCAGATAGGAGATGAGAGTAGGACAGTCTTCTTGACAGTCATGCTGGAGGAGGCATTGGCATAGTGGTAACCTCACTGGATTAGTACCCTTGGCAGATGATCTGGGAACATGGGTTCATATCCTACCAAGGCAGCTGGTGGAATATAAATTCAGTTATGTATGGAGTTAAAAGTTGAATTCAATAATGTGGACCATTGTCAATTTAGCAGGTCTAGCGTTATCTGTAAAGAGGAAAAAGTATGAACGTTTTGAGTCCACTGACCCTTCTTCAGAACCGATAACAGGCAGGAAATGGTTATATTTATGTTGATGATGAAAGTAAGAGTGAGTGGATAGGTGGAGACTGAGCTCACGGAGACAGAGAAAATAAATTAGGCAAATAAAAAGATTGTTGATAATGAGACATGGAAGAAGAGAAGCTAGCTAGGCGATAATAAGGGATATGTTTAGGTGCAAATGTGTTGGCAGTGTTGAATGCAACCCATGTTATGACAAGGCCTGGGATGTGGGAAATAGGTAATAGACATGGAAGAAGATGGTCGTTCTGTAAAATTGCAGACTTGGGAATGAATCCTGAAGGCGCTCAGGTCTCCAAGCAACAGATGAGGTGTTGTTCTTAAAGTTTGTGTTGAGCCTTGCTGGAGCACTGCAGCAAGCCTGAGACAGAAATGTTGGCATGGGAACATGGTGGTGTGCTGAAGTGACAGGCAACTGAAAGCTTGGGTCATTTTTATGGACAGAACATAGGTGTTCTGCAAAGCAGTCACCCAGTCTGTGTTCCGTCTCCCTAGTGTAGAGGAGACTGCATTTGAACAGTAAATACAGTAGAGTAGATTGAGTGAAGTTCAGGTAAGTCACTGTTCAACCTGGAAGGTGTGTCTGGGGCCTTGGATAGTGAGGAGGGAGGAAGCAAATGGGCAAGTGTTGCATCATTTGTGATTGCATGGAAATGTGCTGTGTTGGGAGTGGAGCAGGAGTTGACCAGGGTGTCCTGTAGGGGACTCATCTTGGAGGGGAGGGAGATATATGTCTGTGGTGGCATACCGCTGAAGGTGATGAAAATATGGTTTATGATCCTTTGGATGAGGAGGCTGGTGGAATGGAAAGTGAGGACCAAGGACACCCAGTCATTGTTGGGGGAGGCAAGAGAAGGGGTGAGGGCAGATGTGCGGGAAATGAGTCAGGCACAGCAAGTGACCCTGTTGACCATTGTAGTGGCAAGTCCTTGGTTAAGGAAAAAGATAGACATTTCTGAGGTCCCCCGAAAGTGAGGCAATCCATCTCAATGGACCCCAGAGTTTAAAAACCAGGCGGGAAAACACACCGATGCTTCGTTGGAGACTGCACTGAGGATGTTACCCAGCATGGTAACGAAACGTCTGCAAAACAAGAAACCAGCTCGGTGAGCCAACCAACCTCAAGGTCCCCCTGTGGAAGCTGGCATCATCAGAACAGATATGGCAGCGACAAACAAAGTTATGGAGAAGCTGGTTCACTAAAGTTGCTTCGGGAAGGAAAATCTGCTGTCTTTACCTCATCAGGCCTACACTTGAATTCAAAGCACGGGAATGTGGTTGACTCTTAAGTGCCCTCTGAAATAGCCTAGTACTGAGTTGTATGAAACTGCTATGATGTCTAAAAGGAATGAAATTGGACTGACCACCTGGCATTGATCGAAGTACTGGAAATGACAACAATAAACCCAGAGCCCTCAATCCTACAAGTCCTTCTAGCTAGCATGTTGGAGATTCATGCTAAAATTGGGAGATTTGTCTCTTGGTTAGTTGAGTGACAGCCTCACATTGTCTGTAAAGTGTGATTTGGCAAATGTGACTATGTCCTCCAGTTACCATACCATCCCCAGGTTGTCACTTTTGATTGAAATTGTTCATGCTCATCCATAATGACTGAGCAACATTTGTTTAGCTTCCTATTTTTTCACCACTATGCATGTTGTGCAAAGCCATACTTCACCTTGTCTTTTAATATGATTTATTTGCAACTATGCACTGTCTGCATGACTGAAGACTTCAAAGTGTATACCAATGAATAATCCTTGTTACTTGACAAGATTCTCTAACTTTTAAACCTGACCTCAATTACCAACGTGTTTATTTTAAAAATTATTTGCCATATTTTGTTTTGCATAATTATATTCAAACGAGTATGATGAAGAAATAATACTTTTCTCATTTTTACAGGGAGACCAGTGCAATTTCAGCCATGATTTAGGCCCACCAAGAAAGCGGGAGCTCTGCAGATTTTACTACAATGGATTCTGTGCGAAAGCAGAAAATTGTTTGTACATGCACAATATCCTTCTGTATTCTGACTTTGTGGTGAGGCTAAACTGATGGTACAACTCAGCCAGGTTCTGCTAAGAGGAGTGTAAGCCATGTTGATGCAAGACCTAAGCAAAAACTACAAACCTTGATCTTGACATTATAAAGACTGTAATTTCAGTGCAATATTAAGTGCTTTCATGGAACATTTGATTCCTGGCACAGTTGATAATCTCGTTTTACCAATTATGTTTTGACAGAGTGCACAATCCCGACTGTGCTACCACCAATTCCAAATTCACTTTCTAGGAGTGAAACTTTGCACGTGCACATTTTAATGTCACCACCACACCTTAACCTTAATTTTCTAAAAACTGGTTAATGGCAATTAATACTTCCTATGCAGAGTGACTACTACAATTTTACAGGAAAACAATGTTTTCATAAAAAATATTGCAATTTTACAGGGTTTAAGCGCTTGCGTAAACTTTTTTTTATTATTCATTTGTGGGATGTGGGTATCGCTGGCTGGCCAGCATTTCTTGCCCATCCCTAGTTGCCCTCGAAAAGGTGGTGGTGAGCTGCCTTTTTGAACCGCTGCAGTCCTCCTGCTGTGGGTTGACCCATAATGCTATTAGGGAGGGAATTCCAGCATTTTGACCCAGCGACAACGGCAATATATTTCAGGATGGTGAGTGACTTGGAGGTGATGGTGTTCCCATATACCTGCTGCCCTTGTCCTTTTAGATGGAAGTGGCCATGGGTTTGGAAGGTGCTGTCTGAGGATCTTTGGTGAATTTCTATGTAAATAGCTATGGTAAGTAGAGAATGTACACGAAAATAATTATTTTGGGAGTTCACTTTTTTTAAACAATAAGGTTTAGTCTAAACTTTCATTTTATATGTAGTCTTAAATGAATTTCATGTATTTCCTTCAAGTATAGCCCTTCATTCCTGTAAACATTTTTATTTCAGCATTCAGTCACTCTTCAGACTCATCATAGTTATGTTTATTAAGATTAGACTAAATTTGTGATTCTTTCTGACTTGTTCAAACACAACCCTCCAAGCTTCATCTGACAGCCCTGTAATCATTTGGCTAACTCCAGAATCGGCCATTTGCTGAAGAGTGCCACTTTTTACATTGTTATATGGAAGCAGCAGTTGTCTTTTCTAAGCATGAAAAGCAGTCTGTATTTCACCAGTTCTGTACTTTTCAAAACTGACCATAATCTCAATTCCATACCATTCTGCCATGGCTGATATTCTATGAGCCAGCTTGAATGATTGCATTAACCCAAGATTTCCCCAACTTAGAATCATAGAGTCATACAGCGCAGCAACAGACCCTTTGGTCCAATTTATCCGTGCCGACCGTAATTCCAAACTAAACAAGTCCCACTTCCCTGCATTTGGCCCATATCACTCCAAACATTTCTTATTCGTGTACTTATCTAAATGTCTTTTAAACATTGTAACTGTACCTGCATCCACCACTTCGTCTGGAAGGTCATTCCATACACAAACCACTCTGTGTAAAAAATATTGCCCCACGTGTCATTTTTAAATCTTTTTCCTCTCACCTTAAAAATATGCCCCCTAGTCTTGAAATCTCCCACCCCAGGGAACAGACACCTGCCATTCCCCTTATCTATACCCTCACTAATTTATAAATCTCTGTAAGGTCACACCTCAACCTCCTACACTCCAATGAAGAAAGTCACAGACTATTCAGCCTCTCCTTATAACTCACACCTTCCATTCCCAGCAACATCCTAGTAAATTTCTTCTGAACTTTCTCCAGCTGAGTAATATCCTTTCTGTAGCAGGGAGACCAGAACTGGACACAGTACTCCAGAAGAGGCCTCATCAATGTCCCATACAACCTCAGCATAACACTCCAATTCCTATACTCAAAGGTCTGAGCAATGAAGGGAAGCGTGCTAAATGCCTTCTTAACCACCCACACTATATATGATGCAAACTTCAAAGAATTATGTACCTGAACCCCTACGTCTCTCTGTTTTACAACACTGCACAAAGCCCTACTTTTAATTGTATAAGTCTTGTCTTTGTTTGTTTTACCAAAATGCAATACCTTCCCATTATCCAAATTAAACTCCGTCTGCAGCTCTTCAGACCATTGGCCCAATTGTTCAAGATCTCTTTGTAATCTTATATAACCTCTGACAGTGTTTCTCACCTGTTGAACCATGTCCTATGCCACCCTCTCAGAACAGCCAATATGCAAGCTTCCTCCTGTCAAATAACTGGATAAGCCAGTGTACAGAAGAATAAGAAATAATCATGCTGTATGGACAACAATTTGTCTCCATTACGATATGTAAATAAGGATATATTATCACCATGGCAGCAGAATAATTTAACCTCCATTGCATGGCACGTTACCTTTTATAAAATCTTGGTATATCATTAGCCTGTCTGCAATTTGTGTGATGAGAGATCTACTTATGTAAATCAGTACAGGTGTATATTGAATGAAGTTAATAATGTCTCCTTTCTTTTTCTGTATACTCTTATCTGTTTTCTTCCAAGAGCCTTTTAATTGTTGAACAAGTTGCATCCTTACTGAGGTCTTTTAAAACTTTTAAGCTTGGTGTTTGCTTGTCAGTATTACTCAATTTACTTCTCTTCTGCTATTTCCAACCTTGATGCTCCGCACATTGGGTGTTGGTTGTTCAATTCAGTGCCACATTACAGTAATACAAGGATACAGCATAACATCCAAAAGTCTTGATCTGACTCCAGAGTGGTGAGTTGTGAGGTCACTTCCGGTTGATTATCTGATAGAGGTCAGGTTTAGCATCATACAAAATACATCTCCTCTGAGCTATCCAATAAAGTCTGAAAGTTCCTGAGGATCCTAGAACTTTCTACATATTCCATAAACTTAAGAAGATATTTTTTCTGCCTAATTTGTGCTTCTCTGGAAATTTTTAATGTTTACTGTTGGCAAGCGTTTATGCGTATATGAACAAAGCTAACCCTAACCGCCTACAGTTTAGAAAGTAGTTTGGTAGTTATGGAATTAACAGAATCAATTCTTCTGAGTGGTCGTTGACTTGTAAGTTATTGATCTGTTTGAAAAATGTAAAAGTAATTGATGAAATTTTTGTTGAGTTTCTATTGTTAAAAAAATCTGTTGCCTTTTCAAGAAAGTCATTGTCCTTAATATGCCTCACATGAATTCCCTTGTAAGTTCTTTCATACAACTGGAAATTGTTACCAAGGTGATGAGTGTAAATTTTCCCACAGACATCTAACTGAAGAAACCAGGGAGCTGCTGGACAAGGTAAAGCAAATTACAGATTTTCTTTCCCAGTTTTCTGCCTTTTTGTTAGCAGTCACTATCAGCAGGATGTAGTTGCATCTAGTTGGTGGTAGCCTTTTGGCACCTCGCTTTAGTCATTTCAGTTGTGATCCTAGAACTTGTTTACAGATTATTTTATCATTGGGCTGGAGGAGGTATGTTTGAATGTAATCATGTTCTCTCAAGTATTTGTATGTGAGCAGTTTTCAGCAGGTGGTTACTGGATAATTTTGGACAGAAGGAATCCTGGCTGATTTGTGAGATCATTATGACCGCCTAAATCAGCTCACATCACAGGCCGTAGATTGAACCAGGGAATGTCAAATCTGCATTTGACAGCATGAATCACTACAGTAATTATTTCCCTTCAGTTCTTTTGGGAGCACTGAAACTGATAGACTTGAAACTGTTCATTTCAGTGAATATAATTCTCGTATCATTGGCAGCCTAAATTACAACCTTCATGCAGGGAAATTGCTTGTCTTCGAAATAAGTTGCATTAAAGCCATTCCAGTCCATGATTTTGGAGCTTCTTACATTGTGTTATTGCCTTTCTTACACATTCACAGTTTGAGAGTTTAATTTTATGCTATCAGAGCAGAGCAAAAAAAGAAGTCATTTATTCTGGTGATTCTGGAAAATTTGTCTGTTGAGGTGGCTCTCCTGACATGCAGTGCAGCTGTGCAGCCTCATTTAATTCATGTTCTGCCACTGAAGTTGACCTTCATTACCAGGAGTCAATAAAAGGTAACTTTACAAATCCCCAGAGGTTCATATCTGTAGATTAAATGATGGTCTTCCACTGTGCATAAGTTAGTTCTTTCCATTTGTTAGCAAAGTCCTGGTGTTGGCTGCACTCTTGGGAGTGTTGAACAGTGTTTACAAGTCTTTGCGAACAGTTAAAATTAAAAAGGTAATCAAAGAAAGGGTAGAGCTGTTTATGGACCAGAAAGGTGATCTTGCGAAGGCAGAAAGGATGGCTAAGGTATGAAATGAGTAATTTCCAGATATCTGGATTAGTGAAGATGTAGTTGCCAGAAGGTGGTAGGAGGTACATTGGATATCATAAAATTCAAGAGAATGTAAAGAGAATTGTAGTGTAGTTGTAATGCCACTGAAATAGTTATTCAGAGACCCAGGTTCTGGGGACATGGATTCAGATTCCACCATGGCATTAAAAAAGCTAATCTAATTGTGTAAATATACATGTCCTTTATATACCTAATGTCCTTTCGGGAAGGACATATGTGGTCCTTACCTGGTTTGGCCTACATGTAACTCTAAACCTGCAACAACATAGCTGACTCTCAACTGCCATCTGAAATGGCCTAACAAGCCTCTTAGTTCAAGGGCAATTAGGGATGAACCAGCAAACGGAGCCACATAACCTGAATGGATTTGCAAAAAAACTGCAATATATAAAATGTCTCCAGATGGGATGCAAACTGAAAGAAAGTAAGGGTGTGAAATTGCAGAGCCTCTGGTGCAAAGTTTGCAATGAGATTCGGAAATTTAGTGAACAATAGGAGGATTGTAATAGGTTACGGAAGAACATAGATTGGTAAAATTTAATGTGGAGAAATGTGAAGTGCTGCATTCTGGTAGAATGAATGAGGAAAGGCAATATGAACCAAATGGTACAACTTTATAGCAGGTCAAAAACGGAGACACCTGGTCTGTATGTACACAATCTTTGAAGGCATAAAACAAGCAAAGAAGGCTGTAATTAAAGTGCATGGGATCCTTTATTAATAGAAGCAAAGAGGACAAGAGCGGGAAGCTGTGCTAAATCTTTTCAAAGCACTCATTCGGCCTCAGCTGTGATATTGTTTATTTCTGGTCATCACACTTTATGAAGAGGGTTAAGACTTTGCTTAGTGTACAGAAGAGATTTACTAGCATAGACTATGAATGAGGGACTTTAGTTATGTAGAGAACCTGGAAAATTGAGGGTTGTGCTCCTGAGAGCAGAGAAGGTTAAGACGGGGTTTAATAAAGGTGTTCAAAATCATGAGTTGTTTTGATAGAACAAATAAATAGAAACTGTTTTCAGAGCCAGAGTGATTAATAATTAGGACATCAATTGAAAATGATTGGCAACAAGAACTATATGCAACATGAACATGTTTACACAGCAATTTGTTATGATTTGAAATGCATTGCCTGAAAGTGAGGTGGAACTTTCCAAAGGAAATTTAATTTGATAGATGGAAAATTCCAGGGCTATGAAGAAAGAGCAGGGACATCGGACTAACTCACTAGTTCTACCAAAGAACCAGCACAGGCATGACGGGCCTCTCTCTGTGTCGTATCATTTAATGATTCTATGAACTGGTCATTAAATTATTAATTTTTCATCTTTCCAATCAGATGCTAGCCAGTGAGGCAGAAGCTGGGGCAGAGGATGAGAAGGAAGTGGAAGAACTGAAAAAACAAGGAATCACTCCCTTACCTAAGCCGCCACCTGGAGTTGGATTGTTACCCACACCACCTCGGCCTCCAATGCCACCTCCTTCGAACATGCCTAATGCTCCTCGGCCTCCCATGATGGGACCACCTCCACCACCTGGTCCCCCACCACCTGGTCCCCCACCAATAGGTCCTCCACCTCCAGGCCCTCCACCCCCTGGACCACCATGTCTTCCAGGCCAAAAGAAGATCCCCTCGCTCTTTGAAATTGTTGTTCAACCCACTCCACACCTGGCACATAAAATGGGAATGAGGTAAATATTTTATGCCATATTCTTAAATTTTGACACAAGTCTATTTAACTTTCCTAGATGGTTGGTTTCCAATGCAGAGTAACATCAACAGTGCAGTTCGATTCTTGTACCAGCTGAGGTCACCAGGAACGTCTAGCTTTCTCAGCCTCTCCTTTGCCTGAGGCATGATGACGCTCAGGTTAAACTTGCCACCAGTTGTGTCTCTCTAATGAGACAGCAGACTACGGTCCTCTGGGACTATGGCAGCTTTCACATAGCATATATACTTGAGTAACGGTTGATATCTCATCTAAAAATGAATCCTGACTTTTAGACAAAAAAAATCATTAAACTTTCAAATACTTCATGTATATGTTGACCCACAACATTTAGCTCTATTTACTTGCTGTCCGCTGGCCATTGATGTCAAATGTGTCCTGGTGCCAATCTACTCAATAGATTCATAGTGTGCCACAACATCAAAAGTGGTAGTTCAGTTTCTCATGTCTGCACATGTGAACTCGTGATGTCAAGGCTACTATCTCACTTTGATCCTGTCAATCTGACCCTGTAATAGGAACATGGTATCAAGAAGGAACGGTAGATGCACAGGTGTGTTCAAACTTTGTCGTTGAGTTGGCAAAGCAGGCAATAATTGTTCATCAGCTATAAACACAGAACAAAATATATCATAAAATATATTAAAAATATTCTATATAAATAGAAAATGTTTAAAAAGCTAGAGAATTCAGAGTATTGGAGAACATTGCATACAGGAGGAATCTCAACTTTGACAGAAGCCATAGAATAAATACACAACAGGGGAAATTTGGAAGATGAAATCACAAAATAACTCAGTAAAAATAACCAGAATGGACTCTCAGTTTCTCATGTAAAAGTTGACCCCCTTGTTTTTGACTAAAAATCTAGTCTTAGAAGCTCACCACTTATGAGTATATATAGTACTAACTTTGTTGGTTGACCATTACATCCGCTTATACTTAAAAACTAATGTTTACAGTTGCTCCAAATGCAAATATTTTGTATAGAACTTTACAATGTGACTTTACCACATTTTGGTCTACTGTGAACTTGTTGTTTCCATCCATGAACTTAAGGTGCAAGGGAGTTCACATAACACACAAAAATATGCACACATAATCCTGGATGAGATCAACCATTACTTAAGTATATATGGTATTTGAAAGCTACCATAGTCCCAGATGACCATAGACTCTTGTGTCATTCAAGAGAGGTGGTGCGATTATCCTGAAGGTCATCCATCCTCAGCAGAGAGGAATAGTATGCTGTCAGAGTAGCCAGTTCCTTGTTTAGTGAACATTAAAAATTGTAATGAGTTGACATTTGCTGAGGATAAAAGCGAGTGAATCAAAGGACTTTCTTCACCCAAACATGCCTTCAGGTGGATGTTTCTGATATCACAAGGGAAAGTTCATTGGAAGTATTTGATGCTGAAATTTTTGTTTCTGATTACCTGCCATTTCAGTCCTTTCACCTCTGTGTGGAGCTGCTCAGATGCAATAGCTGTGCAAGTGTCTTCATATTAAATTAAAACAGTTAGAATCCAGTTAGGATTTGAAATTAAGGCAGAGTTGCTGTAGTAAGCAAAAACAAATTCCTGGACAAACTCAACAGGTCTAGCAACACATGCAGAGAAAAAGCAAAGTTAACATTTTAAGTCCAGTGACTGACCCTTTTTCAGAACTCAGAGTTGCTGTAACGTTTGGTTTAATGCAAAAAGAATGCAATTGTCCTCAAAGGATAATGTTGTAAAACAATGGCAATTACAATCAAAAGCTAAGCATAAGTTTTAGAATAAAATTTATTTTGTGTTCTTTTTCCACATAGGCCACGGTTCCCACCACCGCCCCCTGGATTCCCAGGGCCTCCAGGACCTCCCGGGCCACCAGGACCACCCATGGGTCCAGGACCTGCTCCAGGTATGGGACCAGGTCCCATGCCTGGCCCAATTCCTGGACCTATGCCAGGCTCTGGCCCAGAGGAGATGTCATTAGGCCCTGGAATGAATCCAGGACCACCAGTAGGATCAGGCCCTCCAATAGCACCGTTCATGCAAGGAGATCCAGGAATGATGCCTCCTGCCCCTTCTGATCCCAATTTCTATGATAACTACTATCAACAGCAGGGAGTGCAGATGGACCTTGGTCAAGATGGAGAGGAAGGTAGGACACAGGTTATGAACCTTGCCTTTTCCAGTCCAGGACATTGATGAATTTGAGCAAATATCCATTTTTGTAGCACTGAAAGAAAACAACAGTTGCAACAGAAAAGTATATTTACCTTAAAATTTGGAGATTTGTTGCTTGAATATCGAGCTATAAATTAGTTTGTAGGAAATGCATTTTTGACATTCATGAAGCTAACATAAAAATCTAATAATATGCAATTAAAATGTGAAGATGTCATCTTCAAAACGTTTTCAAATGATATATTTAGCAGGTGAAATTCATTGTTTTTTTTGAATGCATGGTTTTTAATTAGATGTCTCTTTTTATTTTAAATGAAGTCATGAGATATTGTTTACCTTTGAAGGGGTCAGGCCCATCCAAATTAGGTACCACAAAAATCATACGTAGAGAGCAGTGCCAAAACTCTGCATGCTTAATTGCTTAATATGCTGTAATTCAGGTAATACAGATACTAAAAGATTCTGAATGTGCTGAATTTTCTAACCTGGCATGAGTGCTGATGAACGGTGCACATGATTGACTACCAGAAGGGAAAGGAGTAAAAGTAGACCCTTTTCTCATTCATTCAAAGGATGAGGGTGCTGCTGGCTAACCCAGTATTTATTGCCCATTCCTTTTTGCCCAGAGGGCAATTAAGGGTCAACCACATTGCTGTGGGTCTGGAATCACATTTAGGCCAGGCCAGGCCAGACCAGGGCAGTTTCCTTTCCTAAAAGACATTAGTGAACCAGCATCTACAATGGATTCATGGTCATTATTAGACTCTTAGTTCCAGATTTTTATTGAAATCAAATTCTCGCATTTGCCATGGCAGGATTCAAACCCGAGTCCCCAGAACATTTCCTGGTCTCTGGATTAACAGTCCAGCAATAATACCACCAGGCCATCGCATTCCTGGTCCGTTAAGCCTCCTATTTATTACAATTGTTGGCTACAACTTCATTTTCCCATCCGTTTCCAATATCCCTTGATTGTGAGAGACCAAAAATCTGTCAATCTCAATCTTATCCATAGTCGACATCAACAAGGAGCATTCACAAAGCTTTGGTAGAGAAGTCTTTTGAGAGAAGTAATTTGCTCTCATCTTAGCCCTAAATGACTGATGCCTTATCCTGAAACTATGCTATCATGTTCTAGATTCCTCAGCTAGGGAGAACTAGCCTTTCAGTGTCTACCCTGTCAAGCTCCTTCAGAATCTTCTATATTTTAACAAGCTGGCGTCTCATTCTGAAAAACACCAAACAATATAGGACTAATTTGCTCAAACTCTCATTGTAGGTCAACCCTCTCATGCCAGGGACCAATCTAGTGAATATTTACAGTACCAGCTCCAATGGAAGTATATCATTACTTAAATATGAGAGCAAAAATGTGCACAGTACTCCAGACATGGTTTGTTAAAACCCTGTAATTCCTTTGCAAAAAGTATTGCTATGAAGTATGAAAGAGGCTTGCCAGGGCAAACAGGAGCAGATATTCCAAAATGCAGCATTCACACACTGTAGTGTGCTGTTGAGATCATGTTGCATTGGAACAGTGCAGAATTTATTCTCTGTCAAAAATTATCAGGACAAGTTTATTGAAGAATAAGCAGATTCTCTAAAGTGGAACAGAATGGAAATTGTTTTTAAGTATGTCTGGAACACAGCCCAAGGCGCTTCCATTTGAAATAAATTGGATGAGTTGATTAACCTTTAGCTATCTAATATTCATTTGTAAATATAGATTTACAAAAATATATTGTGTTAACATTGCCTGTATGGTGCAGAATAATGTAGAAATTTCACCTTCCAAAGCAAGTTATAGCATAATATCTCAATATTGAATGTATTTTGAATTATTAATAACATAATAAAAAAAGGGTTGAGCAGCTTTATTGCCCTCTACCGTTACAATACTGAAAGTGATATGTTTTGTTAAGGTACAGGTGTAAAGTACCTCACCAAATGTGATCCTGTGCAGCAAATATTAGGAGGCTGTTGAAATCTGGGAAGCTTAGAAATCTTGCCAACATGCACAAGCTTATTGTCCACTGTTGGTGCTGGATAGCAGGCAGAATGTTTGTCCACCTAATAAAGTGGTCAGGAGCAGGTGCAAGAAGAGACTAGTACTCCTGTCTCTCCATTAGGATCAGTAAAGGGTAAAGAACAGCAATAACTTGTGAAATCTGTTCAGGTCAACTTCCATGACCAGAATGTTCTCTGTAGAAAGCAACAGTTGCTGGTTTTGCTGCTGTGAAATTAGTTTGACCAATTGAAACAAGTCTGTGTGGGAATATTTGAGCAAAAGTGATCATTGTATCATAATGTTTAGATTAAATTAATAAGGAACAATGTAATGCAAGGCTTCTATATTGGAAGGCTAATTTCAATGTGATAAAAAGGATCTATCCAGGAAAAGGAGGAAATGCTTCAGTTATAAGCTAAGTACAATCCAACAAGGGCAAAAGATAAGGGAACCAAACCAATAAAAAGGGAAGGTGTATGATGCCTGTCATGTGAATTATTCAGCTGAGAATCGGGTCAAGACCATAAGATATAGGGGCAGAAATTAGGCCATTCAGCCCATCGAATCTGCTCCACCATTCAGTATGGCTGATAAGTTTTTCAATCCTGTAACTGCTTTCTCCCTGTAACCCTTGATCCCCTTAACAATCAAGAACCTATCTATCTCCGTCTTAAATATACTCAATGACCTGGCCTCCACAGCCTTCTGTGGCAGTGAATTCCATAGATTCACCACTCTCTGGCTGAAGAAGTTTCTCCTTATCTCTGTTCTAAAAGGTCTTCCCTTTACTCTAAGGCTGTGCCCTGATGTCGTAGTCTCTCCTACCAATGGAAACATCTTCCCAACATCCACTCTGTCTAGGCCATTCAACTCAAATACTGGGTTGAGAGAGGAACTGAAGAGGAAAATAGGACTGGCAAAGAGAGAATATGAAAGTAGAATGGTAGGCAGCATAAAAGGGAATTTAAAAATCTTCAACCAACAGCTAGTAAAAGGTGAAGTGGATCCTATTCGGCGTAAAGAATGTGATATTTGCTTGGAGAGCAGGGCAAGATCATAATACGTTTTAAATTATTTGTATTGGTGTTTACTAAGGAAGAAGAATCTGACAAAATAACGATAGACCTGGAGATGGTAGAGGTAAAGTGTATGGTACAATTTGAAAGGGAAAAGGTACTGGAAAAGCTGGATCTGCTTTGCGTAGATAAAAACACCTGGTCCAAATGACTTGCATTCCAGGTTACTGAAGTAAGTGCAGAAGGGAATAATTTGACTTAATTATTCAAGCTTCCCTAGATAAGGGGTTGTGCCAGAGGGTTGGTTCGCACACCTTTGAATAATAAAGGTGTAAGCATGGTACTAGCACCTTGAGGCCAGTTAGTCTAACATCTGTGGTGGCTAAGGTTTTAGAATCCATAGATAGGGGAAACATCACCAGATACTTTAAGAGGTTTGAGTTAATGCCGGAGAAACCACACCAAGTTACAAAAGGCAGATTGTGCTTGACTAATCTAAGTTTTCAGGAAGTAACAGAAAAAGTTTACAAAGGGAATGTGGTAGGTATGGCCTGTATGGATTTGTACCACATAAAAGGCTTATTAACAGAATTGAGACTTTTGGAATAGAATGGCAATGTGCAGTTGGATAAAAAAAATTGGCTTAATGGAAGAGTGGCAAATAATGAGAATGATACAAATATACCGGAATATAGATAAATCAGCGGAATGGGCAGAGATGGCTGAGGTGATGCATTTTGGCAGAAGAGATGGAGGGTGGGGGAGAAAAAAAGTGTTTTGGTGGTGGGGGCATAGTGAGTGGACAGTGCATATGTATGGAAATTTAAAGGTAGCAGGTCATCCTGCACAGAGTCATACAGCGGAGAAAGGCCCTTTGGCCCTTTGAGTCTGCACTGACATTTACTATTTGCACTAAATTTGCACTAATCTCAAAATCCTGCACTTGTCTCATATTCTTGAATGTTATGTTTCAAGTGCTCATCCAAATATTTTTTATAAAGTTCCTGGCCTCCACTATCTTCCCAGGCAGTCAATTTCAGATTTCCACCACTCTGAGTGAAAGAGTTTTTTTACTCAAATCCCCTCTGAATCTCCTGCCTCTTAGCATAAAACTTATTATTGATCCCTCAACCAAGGGAGACTGCTGCTCTCTACTCATCCTATCCATACCCCTCATAATCTTATACACCTCAATCATGTCCTCCCAACAGCCTTCTCTCTTTAAAGGAAACAATCCAAGCCTATCTAGTCTCTCCTTTTAGTTCAATTGCTCCATTGCTATCAAAGACTAAAGACCCCATACTGACAGTAAACAGGCCTAATGTTATGTACAGAATCCCATGCAGCGAGTGTGTTGGACATTACATTGGACAAACGGGGAGGAACCTGACGACCAGGATACATGAACACCAGCTGGCAGTAAAAAGACACGACCAATATTCACCTGTCTCGATACACACAGACAGTGAAGGCCAAAGTGACTATACTGCGACAAGCGAACAACAGACATGCAAGGGAATTTCTGGAAGCCTGATTGTCAGCATGGGACTCCATTAACAAATATGTAGAAATAGGCCCCGTGTACAGACTACTGCTGAATAACAGAACTGGAAGTGACAAGACCCACCACACCAGAGGATCATATAAATTCGGAACAGAGCAGAACACCAAAATTTTGATTAGAGGTTGCACTGATGATGTTGCCTAGAATGGTAAGGAAACGTCTGTACACAATATGGAACAACCAGCTCGGTGAGCAAATGAACAACTGCATCAATTGCTGCATCCCAGGCAGCATCCTCGTGAACCTCCTCTGTACCCCCTCTGGTGCTGTCACATCTTTTTTGTAGTGAAATGACCAGAACTGCACACAGTACTCCAGCTGTGGCCTAACCAATGGTCTGTACAACTTCAGCATTACCACTTTGCTCTTACACGCTATGCCACGACTGATGAAACCAAGGTCCCATATGCCTCTTTAACTATCCTTTTCGTGTGCTGTACTGACTTCAGGGATTTGTGAATAATTATCTCAAGATCCCTTTGTTCTTCTAAGCTACCCAGTGTCCTGCCATTCATTAAATGCTCCCAAATCTTGTTTCTTCTTCCAAAGGGTTACCATCAGGGTTAAATACCATCTGCTATTTCACTGCCCATCTGACCACTCATTTGTATCTTCCAGTAACCTACAACCATCTTCTTCGCTATTAACCACCCTACCAGTGTTGGTGTTATCTGTAAATTTAACATTCCTGCAACATTTTGACCTATATCATTCATGTATATAATAAACAATAAGGGTCCCAGTACTGATCTTTGGCCTCCATTCACTCACAATCTTCTACCACTACCCTTTGCGTCCTATTACTAAGCGGGTTTCTGATCCACGTTGCTAAGTTTCCTTGAATTCCAAGTGCTTTAACCTTTTCAGTCAGTCTCCCATGCAGTACCTTGCTAAAATTCATATAAGCTGCATCATCCAAACTTCCCTCATCCACATATTTGATCATATTTTCGAAAAATTGTAACAAATTTGTTAGGCATAACCTCCCTCTGACAAAGCCATGCTGACTGTCTGTAATTAACCCTGACCACCCCTAATTAACCCATGATTTTCCAAGTGGATATTTGTTCTCTCTTTCAGAATTTTAATTATAATTTCCCTGCATGGTCAGTAAACCAGATGGAATCCAATGCTTCTTAGGTAGATGCATTGAGCAGAAAATCAGGGATGTTATGCCTAACTCACATAAAATGCTGGTTCTGCCTCAGCTAGAGTAGTGCATCCATTTCTGCTCACCACTCTAGGAAAGACGTGAAAGTCCTTGAGAAAATGCAGAGGATATTTCCAGACTGGTTTCAGCAATAGGGTCTATTAGTTGCAAGGTTAGTTTAATAAAGCTGTGGTTCCCTTGGAGCAAAGGAGATTGAGGAGTGATTTGGCAAAGGTCTACTCAATTATGATAGGTTTAGATAAAGTAGATGAGGAAAATCCCTTTCTATTAAATGATAGTCTGAGGTTTAGGGGACACAGATTTAAGATTTTAGGCAAGAGTTATAGGGGGAATGCGAGGAAGAGCTTTTGTATGCAGCAAGTGGCCATGACCTGGAACTTAATAGCTACAATAATTTCAAAAGGGAATTGGATGGGCATTTTACAGGGGCTGAACTGGGAAATGGGATTGATGGGATCCGGTATGGACTTGATGGGGTAAATGGCCTTCTTCTGCGCCTCCAGAATGAAAAGAAGTGATTAACAATACGGAATTATGTATAGCATTCTTTATGTCTGTCCAGTTCTACAGATACATAATATTTGGTGATTTCCTCTTTTGCAGCCAGTTGATATTTCAGCTAAAGCAATGTATTTGCACACTGGCAGAGAACATTGGCATTTTGGATTCCATTCTATATTCTCATGTTGAGTTACCATCTGACCTCTTTTTGCCATTGTTTCAATGGCAGAACACACTGAAGAGGCAATGTAACATAAGAACTAGGAGCAGGAGTAGGCCATCTGGCCCCTTGAGCCTGCCCCGCCATTTAATAAGATCATGGCTGATCTTTTTGAGACTCAGCTCCACTTACCTGCCCACTCACCATAACCCTTAAGTTCTTTACTGTTCAAAAATTTATCTAGCCTTGCCTTAAAAACATTCAGCGAGGTAGCTTCAACCGCTTCACTGGGCAGGGAATTCCACATATTTACAACCCTTTGGGTGAAGAAGTTCCTCCTGACCTCAGTCCTACATCTGCTTCCCTTTATTTTGAGGCGATGCCCTCTAGTCCTAGTTTCACCTGCTAGTGGAAACAACCTCCCTGCCTCCACCTTATCTATTCCCTTCATAATCTTATATGTTTCTGTAAGATCTCCCCTCATTTCTTCTGAATTCCAATGAGTATAATCCTAGTCTACTCAATCTCTCCTCATAATCCAACCCTCTCAACTCAGGAATCAACCGAGTGAATCTCCTCTGCACCCCTTCCAGTGCTAGTATATCTCTTCTCAAGTAAGGAGACCAAAACTGCACACACTACTCCAGGTGTGGCCTCCAGCATAGCCTCCCTGTTTTTAAACTCCATCCCTCTAGCAATGGCAGACAAAATTCCATTTACCTTTTTAATTACCTGCTGCACCTGCAATCGTACTTTTAACGATTCATGCACAACGACACCCAAGTCCCTCTGCACAGCAGTGTGCTGCAATTTTTTACCATTTAAAACATAATCCATTTTGCTGTTATTCCTACCAAAATGGATGACCTCACACTTATCAACATTGTACTCCATCTGCCAGATCTTTGACCACTCACTTAGACAATCTATATCCCTCTGCAGACTTTCAGTGTCTTCTGCACACTTTGCTCTACCACTCACCTTAGTGTCATCTGCAAATTTTGACACACCACACTTAGTCCCCAACTCCAAATCATCTATATAAATTGTAAACAATTGTGGTCCCAACACTGATCCCTGAGGCACACCACTAGCCACTGACCGCCAACCAGAGAAACACCCATTTACCCCTACTCTTTGCTTTCTACTGGTCAACCAATCCTCTATCCATGCCAATACATTACCTGTAATACCGTGCAACTTTATCTTATGTAGCAGCCTTTGGTGTGGCACCTTGTCAAATGCCTTCTGGAAATCCAGATACACCACATCCACAGGTTCCCCATTGTCCACTATGCAAGTAATGTCCTCAAAGAATTTCATCAAATTAGTTAACCATGACCTACCCTTCATGAACCCATGCTGGGTGTTCCCAATGGGACAATTTATATCCAGCAGTGTCCCAGCAGATGGTCAAAGAGCACTTTTGAACAAGCAAAATGTATTTTCATCTTCTTTTGCAGCAGCCAAATTGCAGGTAAAGAGAAAATGGAGGAGTCTGTACCTTCACAAGTAATGCATCAGAATAATTTTCACCTATTTGCCAAGTGATTTCTACATCTGCCTACCCTAGCCACAACTATAAACAATATGGAACAATCATTGTCCTTTTTTACTCTGTGAAGAGGGTGTCAATTCCAAACAATTACTCTCTTGAACTGTATAAAACAAGTACCCAAAAAAAAACTACTTCTTGTTGAAACAAGAAAAGATTGTGATAGGTTTGTGAGAATAATCAACCAATTCAACAGAAAACTACCTTATCTCTCTTTGTTCACTCTTCCTGTTCATATCTCTGCCAGGTGCTTTTGAAGAGATGGACGAAGGAGATGGCCAGCCAGTTCTGCTGCCAGATATTGAGGAAATGGAAGCTGAGGAGAATGGAGGTGATTCATCCGGTCAGAAAACCAATGTAAATATTCCTGACTTTCTTCCTGCGGCCCAACGAGCACTTTTCCTCCGCATCCAACAAAAGCAACAGGAGGAAGAGGAGAAGGCAAAGAGGAGAGCAGAGAGCAGCCAACAGGAGAAAGAAAATGAGGAAGGTGCATATTATTTTTATATTCTGATTAGGCATTGTAAAATAACTGTCTTTATTAAATATCTCAGTGCAGCCATCTAGAAACAAGTAAGCAGATGTTTTCCAGTTATTTTTAAATGGTGTGTAATTGCTATCGACAGTATTTGAAAATTTGTTGCAAATCTGAAAAAGTTGCATCCACTGTATTAAAATATGTTAGTCAAAAGAATTAGTAGCAAGAGAAGGGCATTCAATCCTCAGTTGATAAAATTATTGTTGATCCGATTGTGTTCTGAGCTGCAACTTCCTGTCTGCTCCCTTTATAACACTTGACTACAGTGTCAATTTATCTAACTCAACCTTGAATACATTCAATGACCCAGCTTTCATTACTCCTTGGGGAAGAGAATTTCACAAATAAACAACCTTCTACAAGAAAAGCATTTATCCTCGTCTCCATTTTAAATTGGAGCCCCGAATCTTTGTCCCATCATTCTAGACAGCTCCACAAGAGGAACATCTTTTCAGAATCATTGTCCAACAACCTTTGGATTTTTTTGTTTCAATAACATCATCTCTTAACTCCAATGGATATGGGACCAAACTGCTCAACCTTTCCTCAGAAGCTAACCTCTTCATCCCCAGGAGCCTGCTGAGTTAATTATTTTCTGAATTGCATCTGATGCAGTTCTATCATAATTTTTAAATACACAGCATTGTATATGTGGTTTCCTTAAGGCTGTGTACAGTTGTAGCAGTACTTGTTTACTTTTGTGCTCAATTCCCCTTGCAGTAAATGACAACATTCCATTTGCCTTCCACTGTACCCACATACCAACATTTTTGTGACTCATACCAGGACACCTGGATCCCTCGAGACTGTATAATTCTGCTGTCTTTCCATTCAAATAGTATACTGCTTTCCTATTCTCCCTGCCGAAGTGACCAAGTTTACATTTTTCCACATGTACTCTGTCAGTTTTTTCTCCTTTCATTTAACCAATCTTTGTCCCTTCTAGGTTTTTTTTAATGTGCTCGTGACAACCTACTTTTCCACCTACCTTTGTTTGGAAATTTAGTTACCATATATTCGGTCTTGTCATCCAAGTTATTGACTTAGCTTGTAGCTAGTTGAGGCCCAGGACAAATCCATTTGCACTCCATTAGTTACAAATTGCCTTCTCAAAAATGACCCAGCCTACACTATGTTTCCTGTTAATCAATCAATCAATCAATCAATACTCAATCTATGCAACCTCCTACACTATGAACTTGCTTTTGTGTAGTACCCTTGGATGAGGTACTTTATTAAATTACCTTTTGGAAATTCAAGTTTATCACATTTACAGGTTTCCTTTGTCCGGCTTGCTTATTACTTCAAACTTGTCAAGAACGATTTCCTTTTCACAAAGCCATGTTGATTCTGCTAGATTGAATTATGATTTTCTAAATGTTGGACCCTGAAAACTCCTTAATAATGGATTGCATTGTTTTTCTATGATAAATGATAGGCTGACTGGCCTATAGTTGGTTTTCTGCTTTCCATGTGCCTTCTTTCTTGGAGATGTTGGGTTTGTAATTTTTGTATCTACTGGAACTTTTAGAAGCTTGCAAGCAACGCATCCACTGTTTCTGCAGCCACTTCTTATAAGACAGTCAGATGCTGGCCATCTAGTCCAGGAAACCTGTCAATCCGCAAGTTTTTGCACTACTTTTTCCCTCATAATTTTGATGAATTTAAATATCTCCATTCTTTTCACTCAGTCAAAAACATCGAACAATAAACTTAATTCATTGGGATTGAATTTCACATCAGCAGCCAAAGGCTTAAGTTTGAGAGTATTGATGGTCCTTACCGTGCTTTAAGGTTTGATAATGGGTTGTAGTAGACATTTGCAAGGAGACTTGTTTCCCCCAACCTGCATGAATTGACACCGCTAAGCCTATGTTTTTAAATGGAGAATACAATTAGGCTAGTTTGAGGTTGAATGGAGTGGGGGGTGGTGTGGGGTCATGTACAAAGTTAGCAGGCGGAGAGTGAAGGATCAGGCAATGGGATTGAAGGGCACACTAAGCATTTTCAACTCTCCCCCAAACTGCATTCCCACCTACCCCGTTGTTAAACAGTTCTCGCAGCCCCCAAATAGACTGGGGAAGTAGATTATAGAATAGAATCGTATAGATCATAGAATCCCTACAGTGTGGAAACGGCCCTTCGGCCCAGCAAGTCCAAACCGACCCTCAGAGCATCCCGCCTAGACCCATCCACCTGATCTACACATCCCTGAACACTATGGGGCAATTTAGCATGGCCGATCCACCTAACCTGCACATCTTTGGACTGTGGGAGGAAACCGGAGCACCCGGAGGAAACCCACGCAGACACGCGGAGAACGTGCAAACTCCACACAGGCTGAGGGTGGAAGTGAACCTGGGTCCCTGGCACTGTGAGGCAGCAGTGCTAACCACTGAGCCACCGTGCTGCCCTGCTGCATTAAAGTAAGACTCTCAATGTCACTTCCAGTTCTTCAGCAAATATTTGCAACTCCCTGCCACACCAGGTCAGAACTTCCAGAGTACATCAACAATCTTTCCACTCCATCAAATCTTTCCGGATCTGATCATCCCCAGTAAGTTGCTCCTTGGTGAATTCCCTTTTTCTAAATTTTAAAGAGTTTTCTTCCCCATTTTGAACAGAAACTGACTCCTTACAAACATCCAAGTTGGTCTTTTTACGCAGTTTTCTTCTGCTTCACCACAGCAACAAACTTTGTTCATCTGTGTTTTCTTAAGAGACGCTAAAAATTGCAATAGTCAATAGAGATCTCAATAGTTTGTTTGACTTTCTATCCTCATGGAAACCAGAGATCACTTGGGCACTTCTTTGAAATGAGATGTGTATCAGGAATTCACAATCCCTCCCTCCTTTCATTCTCAAATCTTGTGTTTTGCTTCAAATTGAAGGGATATTTTGAAACATAATCATCTTGGAAAGTTCAGTGTTTATGACAGCATAAAAATTTTACTATCTTATATGCTTCATAGTCATTTTCATGTTTTTAAACGGCCTCACCTTGCATGACTAAACTGGGAGTAGCAAAGTGGAGAAACCAGGATTATGCACTAAATTGCACTACAAAGTATATTGAAAGTTTGTGCACTTTCTTACTTTATTGTGCTATCATACCTAAACTAGAATAACTCTTGCAGTATGTAGTAATGTGTTGTTCTGTGCTTGTAGGTGATGGTGATAATTGGTACTCAAGTGATGAAGAGGATGGTGGAAGCAGTATGAGCTCCATTTTAAAAACACTCCGTCAGCAGTCAGCTAGCAAGTCTCAAGTGCAAGCCCAGAAGATGGTACATAACAACAATGGCAACAGCCAGAATGCTGTTGATCCACGCCTTCAGAAAGAGAGGCAGTCAAATGTGAATCGACCAGTAGACCCTCGGATTTCAAGGGACCCCAGGCTTTCTCGAAGCACTGAGAACACATCAGGAATTCCTGCTTCCGAAATGCTTGCTGCAGAAAGCAGGACTGTGACTGTTCTGAAAACAGATGCCCTTCATCAGCCAATCCCTGCCATTGTAAAACCTCAAGCCGCAGTTAATGAGGAGGAAGGAGAGAGAATTCTGAGGGACAGGGCTGTTGCCATTCCTCTTGATCCTTTACTGGGTTCCTCACTCAGGGACCCCAGGTGCCAGCTTAAGCAGTTCAGCCATATTAAAATGGACATCTCTCTGGGTAAACCTCATTTTGCTAAAAGTGTTTTATGGAGCCCAGAGGACTTGATCCCACTGCCTATTCCTAAACCCGATCCTGTAGCTGCTCCTGTACCCTTCCCAGTATTGGATCCCCGGTTAAACCGTTCTCCACAAACTGGGGGGCCTTCAGACCCCAGGCAGCGCATTGCTGAACCAGTAGTGGAGCCCCCTCAGCCAGCACCAAGTTCTGCCCTTCCAGACTTGGGCTTATTGTCCAGACTATTGAAGAGTGTGGATGCTTCAGCAACCAAGGTGACCGCACAGAGTGACAAGCCTTCTGACCCCAGGATGCGAAAGATGCCTGCGGATCCAAGACTGCAGAGGTCCACTGCTGGACTCCAAACCTCTAACTCACAATCTGGAAAACCTGTGGAACAAACTGAGACCCCTACTGCCCCTTTAGGGAAGGATTTGAGTGCTGGTCTTGCTCCATATGATCCCAGGTTGGTTACTGCTGGTGGTCAGAGCAGAGGAGGAGCTGGAGGACAGAGCAGTATGCTGACTGGCATTAGTTTGTATGACCCAAGAACTCAGAGCACCCAGGGTGCAAATATCAGAAGCGTAGAGTCTTCCAGTGAAAGTAACCAGCTGAAAGGGTCAGAAAACCCTAAAAGTACCAGTAAGCCAAAAGAGCCATTGTTTGTAAGAAAATCAGCATTGGATCAACTGGAAAATGATAAGTCAAGTTCAGAAACTTCCACAGACAGATATAATAGTTACAACAGACCTAGGCCAAAACCAGCCACACCTGCTGCCCCCTCACAGGATTCAGGTCAGACAGGAGTGCATAGCCTCCCGGTGCCATCTCTGTTTGGACTGATTCACCCACAATTTTCTGAGGTGAAACAAGTCACTAAATCTGGCTCAGGTAGCCCTTTTGGTGGGAACAGTCCTCATGAGGAGAGTGAGCAGGACACAACCTCCCTGAAGGATGTTTTTAAAGGGTTTGACCCAACTGCGTCACCGTTTTGTCAGTAAATTGTAAAAGGACAGTGAATGCTGCATTTAATCCTGTATATTTAACCTCATAGCAGGGGCTGGACACAGCATCGGGCAATGTTTTATCATATTCTTTAACTTCGTAATTTAATACATTGATAAATGTGAATATGTTTAGAAAACAGGTGATAGAATTCACTGAGTTAAAGTTTAGTCTGTTTGGAAGATAAAATCTGAATCCAAAATGTGATTCAGGCAGTAGTTCAGACTCTTCAAAATCAAAACAAGCAAAAATGTGCTTTTTCCAGCTATTGATTTTGAAGCATTCTTTCTAAAGAAAAGTCAGTCTGTCTAATAGATGCTTGTCTGTCACAAAATACAGAGCTCCCATTGATTTGGACATTTTTGCATGACTGGATGCAGTCTTTTAAAAGCAGTGCAGTGTAGTTAAATGTAGAAGTACATAATTGACATCAAATGTATATACAATATGTAATGAGGTGAATGGTGAATTTGGGCAGTACCCTTTGACACGCTTAGGTAAGAATCTTGTTCTGTGGGTTCCGGAGTTTACCTCCTCCCACTTGACCTGGGGAGGAAGAGGTGGAAGCTGTGATTTATCAAATGAGTAGGCCACCTGCAGCCTCTGCCTCATCAGCTATTCCCAGTCTGCGAGGCAGAACTCTCAAAAACCTTTCACACATAAGGCTGTGAAATATTCTGGAATTAAACAAAGAACCCTATCAGAAACATCGAATATCTTAAACATGTATTTTAAAAATACAAGCATATATGTACATAAACTATACTTTTGCAAAACTGAGGGACAAAATGTTCAAAAATAACATTTTTTTTATCAAAGAAAAAGAGCTTATATTAAAAAAAAATGAAGCACCCTGTGCAGCCCTGGTACCTGGTTCCCCAGAAACTGTGGCGAGAACTAATGGTTGTTTGTTAACATTCCTGGAACATGTCCAAATTGGATATGTGTCTTCCAGGTTACTAAGGCTTTCACAACTTAAGGATTCCACTATCCATTACATTTTCACAACTGACTCCAAATACTGTATATTGAAACATTTCTTCTCTGGAGAAATTGTACACAAGGTGCTGCTTTGTTTTACTTATGTTTTAATATCTTTATATGGTAAATATGTACAAAATGCAGAGGAAAAAGTCAAGCGTTCACATAGTGTTAGACCTGTTTGTATCTGTAGCTTAGACACTGAAGAATCAGAGACTGATGGATTAGTGTAGAATAATCTGTGAATAAAATGTTTTTTTTTCTGTTGTAATGCTCCCACATTTCCTAAAGTTGAGATCAGATATATAGCAACAAAATAATTTTGGTTTTAATAATACGTGTAAATATGTAGGATTTGCTGATAAACTTAATTGTAACAAAGTTTTCACTAACACTGCACTAATTCCTTGAAAGAATTAATTTATTTTTATAGTTATTATCAGCAGTGTTTTTATGCACTGGTCCATCTAGTACCAGTGAGCTAATTCCCTGTCACAGTGCTGTAAATTTGATGCCTTGCTTCCATGTCAGATGGTTGTAACTTCTCAGAGTTGCCAAGCCAATCCAAATAGACTGATTACCTTAATTGGTTTCAACAAGTCACATCCAATATTGTCATATCTAGAGACAGGCTATAGAGCAAATGCATTCCCAGAAGATGCTGCTAATTTACCAGCAGAGGTGTGTTGACAAGCAAGCAAGATAGGTACAAAAGTAACGTGCCAGTGTCATCAAGGTTTATATTGCGATCAGCTAATGTGTTCACTGTTAACTTTAGGGTTTAGCATTGCAGGGTTAATTTTTAGGATTATGAGATAGTGAGGCATGAGTAAAAGGTTCAAGTACAGCCAAGGTATCCGCCTCTTTGTGGAGGAGAGAACTTACTCTGATGAGTTAATCTTGGGTGTACCTCAGTGCAAAATAGACATGAGCTAAGGCCAAATGGAATGGGCCTTGTTTTGTTGGGCTACATTAAAATCCTGTAGCATTATATATAAAATTGATAACTTAGTAACGTGGATTTAGACCTGATACTAGGAGTGCGGATAGCCAGATTTCCAATATGAAGACTGTGTCTAGAGTTTACAATGATGCTGTCTAGAAGAGCAAGAGCTGTATTAGTTTTGGGATAGCAATGACCTTGTACAGTTCTACCAAATATATTTTTGTTATGCATGTAGTTTAGTAAATAATCTGGAGTGTACTCCATTGGTGTAATTAACATTTATTGCACAAAGTTGTTTGTTGTTTGACCTTATGACACCCACCATTCAGTACCCACTGTGGAGCAGCTGGCTGATGTCACACAGTGCAATATTCTAAGTTGCATTTACATTGTGTATGAACTGTACAATATCGGATACTTTGAACATTTGACAGGTATATTCCAGTATTTGAGTTCAGAGAGTTATGAAATGCAGGAGCACTAATGCCATTAGAAGCTGTTGATCAGGTTCTCAGCCTTTTTAAATTCACTTCCCAAATATTTGTTCTATATCATTAATATTTTGGAGATGATGTTTTTTTTAATGAGGTGTATTTAAATCTTTTATGTATAAATTACTAAGGGTCTGTATAAATTGTTTGCTTTTCTCCATTTCAAAATATGTGTGGGGTATTTGAAATGAGCTCTTCTTGGAAACATAAGAGTAAGCAACAAGCCATTTATTATAAGTAACAACCTTTAGCTGCGGTTTAGTAATACCCACACTTTATATCAACTTTCATTTGAAGCACATTTTATCTTTGGTGCATGACTGTTATCACTGAAATAATTATGAAAGTTAACTTAATTTTACTGATTTTTAAAGTTTGATCTAAATAAGTCTTCCTCTTTTGAGATGTAATTCTCTCCATAACTGATATTCAAAATAGGAAAATGTCCAGAAAGATGTAGTTAATTTGTGAACTTCTTGAAATCGTGTCCCTTGTACATCTTTTAAGTGAATATGGTCAGTTATGGTGCCACCTTGTCTTTTTTTCTGACAGTCATTGAAAGGAGAAGCAAGGTGTAAATTCTATACCACGTATCCATTCTATGTTTTCTTTTGTCACAAGATAACAGTTTTAATATACCAAATAGGAATAGTTCCATTTTAAGAAATTTAAGCTACAAAAGTGGAAATAAATTCTTTGCACAGGCAGTATTAACAAATAGAATATTCAGGAATGAGAAGTGTAGTTTACGAATGAATCAAATTAACTGGTGACGAATAAAATTGCCATTTGGCTGTTTTCACCAGTCTTACCAGGATGCCAATTGTGATCCAATTTCGAGATGATGTGAAATATGATTTACTCTGGATCTGTCACGTGTCAGTAAAAATGCGCTATCATCACCATATTGAGAAATTGAACTGCAGTTTAATATTTAGGTTGGCTAAAGTTTGTGATCTCTTTTACTAAGACTGTGACTTCTGAAGTCCCAGAATGTTGCCTATTCCAGGAGGTATCAGATGGGATAATAAGCTGCATTGTTCATAACAGCATCAGTATGCAGTGTTGGAATGGGAAGAAATTGAAGGGCTTCTGCTCATAAGCTGAGTAGTATTCAGAAGTTTCACTAGCTTGGAATGGCATCTTATATATGGTTTTACAGTGGACAGTATTATAATGGAGCTATTTATATTTGTCATCTGGGCACTGCAATCTTACTGCTTGTAACAACCAATATCTAACAGAGAAACCACATACAGTACAAAGTCAGTTGTAAATGAGCTGATCTTTGTTTAAAAATTTAGGGTGACTCTAAATGAAAAGTATACTTTGCACAACTGTATTATCTCTTAAGTGAATTATTTTCGAGTTGCCAATATGCAGCCGGTGCTTCCTGTGTGTGTCTATATGTGTGCATCTGCACGCTATGTGCAGATGTCTTGATTAGTTTGTATTGAAAACACATTTTAGGAAATTTATCCTTGAATTATTCAAATGAGGCTGGTAAGTGATCATTTTTTGAAAAGGAATAGCTTTCAGGATTACATGGAGAAGGCAGGAGAACTGCGCTCGGTGAATTGCTAACTTGGAAAGCTGGTGCAGACATGATGGGCTGAATGGCCTCTGTTGCCATCATAATTCTATGAATCTGTAATTTAGTTATCATAGTTATGCTTTGTTTAAAAGTCCATCACTCATTCAATTCGAGTGTTAATGACATCAAAGTAAATGAGTTTGTTAAAACAGTACAAAGTAATTTTTGAAAAAAAGATCATTAAGTTAAGTTTGCAGGCTTATACTCCTTGAAGTGTACAGGATAAAAACCTCGTGGTCAGTAGGCATTGCTGCTTTAATTCAAATCCACTTCGTGACTCTGCTGACTTTTAGTAACAGTAGTGTGTTCAACAGTTTACGATATCAAATTGCACTTGTTTGTAATAGGTTTAAACATATTCCATATACTATGGTGTGCCAATTCTAAAATGAATTAGAAAGATTTGAGTAGTTCCTTCAAAATGGATTGCAGTTGTCTTGATTCAGATCTTACAAGTACACACTGAAATCTTTATTGTGGATTGATTATTGAGTAGATTTGGTTGAGACAAAACTGGGATTTTAATGGTTTGGCTAATGTATATACACAAAAATAGTCAACCACATGTTCTCTTGGGCCAAATAAAACTTCTGCACTGATTCCAAAATAGGTTTTTTATCTGTTCTGCTAATATGGAGAGCAAACATAGCTAATATTTACAAAGTACTTTGCTATTTGACTTGTGGCAGCTAAAATTACCACAAAAGAGATGTACAATATACAAAGTGTTGCCTCATGCTGTGTCCAGCCACTTCACACAGCTCCTACAAATCTGTTTTCCTTATATGTAAAAGAAAATCAGTCTTTGTATTTAACTGTCTTTGAAATGATCGTATTAATTAGTTAACTATATATCTTACTTTAAACAAAATATGCTATTTGAAGAGAGGGAGCAGCATGCTGAAGAAGCTAATGTAAGTGTGTTACATTGCATCCTTAAACCATCAATATCACATTTCATTTGTGATAGGTAGATTGTATTGTCATGTATCCTTCAACTTTTTAACCAACAACTAATAAAACGTACAATATTGACATTTTATTCTTGGTGATGGGTATGTCCTCTTGGTCGTTTTCAGGTTGTGATTAGCCTTAGTGCTAGTTGGTTATAAGTCACTTTCTGGATCAAGACCTGATGACGATTGCTAGAAAATGTTTGTACTAAACATTGATTGAGGTTAGAATCAGGTTCTGTCATGATTCTTTCTTTGGTGAAGAAATCTATTGTCTAGGTCACTCTTAAAATAAAGGATTGTCACCTGGACAAGGTACTGAAGAACTGCTGGCTCCCGTGAAATTGTACTCTATGTCAGAGCCATGGTAAAAGGAGTAAATGGGGGAGAGGGGAAGCTACATATCTGGGGAGTGGTGAGTCTCTGAGTCTTCAGTTGAGATTCCCTTCACTGAAATATCAACAGAGATCGGGAGGTGGGATTGGAAGAGGTGGTGCAGTTGAAAAGACACTGCTTTAATCCTTGCTGATAGGGTGACAGACTGTTTCGTAGGCAGGAAGGTTCTTTGTAAAATGGGGTTGGATAGACTATTGCGGTTCCCCAAATTGATCTGTAAAACTCTACCTGCAAAGGTGAAGCTGATTCCATAAAAGTTTAAATAGGGTATAAGAGGAATACTTGAGGATGTGGAACCTACAGGGTTATGGTGTAAGTCGGGATATGGGACAGATCATGATTGCTCTTTCAAAGATGTAGTTATTAGACAAGTTTTGGGGAGTCAGGAGATGAATTACTCTGCAGAATTCCCAGTCTCTGACCTGCTCTTGTAGCCACAATATTCGTGTGGATGCTTAAGTTCAGTTTATGATCAGTGGTAAATCTTACGATGGCGAGATGATAGGCTAGTGGTATTATTGCTGGACTTAATCCAGTGACCCAGGTAATGTTCTGGGAACATGGCAGATGGCATAATTTGAATTCAATTTTTTTTTAAAAATCTGGAATTAAGAGTCTAATGATGACCATGAATCCATTGTCAATTGTCAGAAAAACCCATCTTGTTCACTAATGTCCTTTAGGGAAGAAAGCTGCTGTCCTTACCTGGTCTGGCCTATGTGTGACTCCAGACTCACAGCAATGTGGTTGACTCTTAACTGCCCTTTGAACAATTAGGGATGGACAATAAATGCTGACTTAGCCAGATACACCCTCATCCCGTGAATAAATAATTTAAGCAATTTTGATAGTGAGAAATTCAGTGACAGTAGTGCCATTGAATGTCAAGAGGAAATGGTAAGATTCTTGTTGGAGATAGTCATTTCCTGGCACTTATATGGTGTGAATATTGCTTAGTTTAGTGATGTAATGAGCAATGTGCATAAAGGACAGCCAGTATTTGTTGTATTTTTTGAATTTTCAAAAGGCCTGTGATGGGGTTTTACATGACAGGTTATTATGCAAGATCTCATGGTTCTAGGGAGTTTAAACTGTTTGTATAGTATTGGGTGAAGTATTGTAGCCAGATTTACTGACATTGCTAAGGTGGAAGGGAAAACAATTTGTGAAGAGAATGAAAAGTCAGCATTGGTTTTTAGATGGGTTAGGTGTATGGATAAAGAATTGCCAAATAGAATATAAAGGCGGAAAATGTGAAGTTCATTTCAATGGGAGAATATTAAGGCACTACAAAATACAGTGTTACAGAAGGATCTAGGTATCCTTGTTGTTAAGGACCAGTTCATACCCCTTCAAAACGTATCAAAGAGATAACCTAGACCTTAACTTTTATTTAAATCAAGTGTAATGTGCTTTGTTCCCGAAGTGATGAGATTGGTCAAACTACTAGGCTTTAAGCAAACCACAGTTTATTCTTACACCACAGTTAAAACACAAACAAAAGCCATAACTTGAATTGGCATAACTTTAATTCCATCAAAATACTTAACAAAATGATGTTGTTAAACTTGAAAGCATTCAGGAAAGACTTACAAGGATGTTGCTAGGGTTGGAGAGTTTGAGCTTTAGGGAGAGGCTGAGGGGTCACCTTATAGAGGTTTATAAAATCATGAGGGGCATGGATAGGGTGAACAGCTTTGGTTTTTTTTCCCCAAGGTAAGAGAGTCCAAAACGAGAGGGCACAGGTTTAAGGTGAGAGGGGAAAGATTTAACAGGGACCTAAGGAGCATCATTTTCACGCAGAAGGTGGTGCATGTATGGAATGAACTGGCAAAGGAAGTGGTGGAGGCTGGTCCAAATACATTTAAAAGGCATTTGGATGGGTATATGAATAGTAAGGGTTCTGACGGATATGGGCCAAATGCTTTCAAATGGGACTACATTAATTTAGGATATCTGGTCGGCATGGATGGGTTGGACCGAAGGGTCTGTTACATGCTGTACATCTTTATGACTCTAATTACTACTCATCAACTATTCCAGTATAGCTGAATCCCATAAATGCACACTTGGCAAAGGCGAATTCAGCAAAACAGATGCTCTGTCATGCTATTTTCAGTCCAGGAGAAAGGAAAAACTGAAATAATGAGTCTAGCAGCAGAGACCGAACTAAAGCTTTTTTTGCAGCAGCAGAGAAAAAGCTCTATCTAACAGCTTTAACTCCAAAAAACTTCAACAACTGAAAACAATAAGTAAAATCCTGGGTCTGAGAGAGCCTGGATCCACCCACTCATGCTTCTTTTGTCTAATTTTCAAAAAACCCAAAGCTATTTGCTTTCCCTGGAGCAGATGCCTCCACACCATTTTTACAACATCCCCCTTAAAAGGGACAGACAAATTCCTTTTAAAGATGCATATCATTACATGTACATGGCTCAAAAAGTCATGCATGTACAGCAAGAAATTTAGAAGGGAACTGGAATGTTGACATTAAATACAAAAGGTATAGATTAGAAAAGGAGCTTTTTAGAATTATATAGGGCTTTGGTGAGACTTTAAAAAAAAAACTAAGATGCTTTCCAACCAGCTCCTACAACTCAACACCTATCCCCAACAATTGAGATCAGTGATGAGATCCTGAAAAATTTAGATGATTTTCCATACTTGGGAGCCATCTTTTAATGGAGGCAGACATAGATGACAAAATTTATCATCACTTATAATATGCCAGATAATATGCTAGTTTTATGGCACACTCAGGATTTAATTCAACAAGACTAAAACCTATATGGCAACTGAACATATTTTGATGTTGTAAATCCAGAGATTTATTAAGAAATAAAAGTAATTAAGAAACCAAGGCAGCAACTTGAGAACTTGTTGGGCCTTTACTTTTCATCTCAATTTTGGGCAAAGTTGTTTTCCTATGCCACATGCTGTAGCTTGCATTTATCAAATGTACAATTTCCATCTCTGCAACACTTCTTTGTTTCTGTGCAGTTAGGTTTGAACTCTGGGGTTTTAACCCCCTTTGACCATCTCAAGGTCAGAGCCAGTCTAATTGCTAGTTGGCCTAGACATTTTGTGCTCAATGCCTAGTTTGTTCTCGGTCTGTAAAGTGCCTCATCTAAAAATGAGATGCTGTTTCTTCAATTTATATTCTACTTCACTGGAACATTGCAGTTAGATGAACACAACAATGATAGAATGAGAACACGATGGTGAATTGATAAGTGACTGGAAGATTGGGATCATGCTTGTAGATTATTTGGTAGTGTTCCGCCAAATGGTTGCACAGTTTGGGTTTGATCTCCCCAATGTAGCTTTTTCTACTTTATCTAACTGTAAAATCCAATGTTAAAGACAGTATTGAAATCTGACAAAGAATTGGAAAAGGCAAAATTTTTATTCTTACAAAAATTAAGTAATATTCTAACAAAATAAAACTAAGAATTGCAGACGCTGGAAATTTGAAACAAAAACAGTAATTGTTGAAGAAACTCTGTGGAGAAAAAGCAGAGTTAATGTTGAGTCGAGTGACCATTCTTCAGAACAGGAAGGTCAGCTTAAGTCTTGAAACAAGAATCTATGAATTAAATGTTACGTCTGGTCAGTTATGAATGTGAAGCTTGAAGCACTGATAAAGAGGAAGAAGTTCAAAAGCTTTGAGTTGCGATGTTTAATAAGGATCCTAAGGGTAAGCTGAGTGGAGAAGAGAATTAACAAAGGAGTGCTGAATGAGGCAGAAAGAACAAGAGAACTTAAATATCAGAATTACCAGTGAAGTTCTTTGGCCATGTTCTTCACACATTAGAGTTGGAGTATCTAATCACCACCAAAGGAACAAGAGAAGAACAAGAGGCCAACTGTGAAAGAAACAGCTGGAAATATTAAAGAGTGACTTAATCAGAACACTAACAATGATCGTAAATATTTTAAACACTTGAGACAAAAGTTCTGTTAGCCTTCTCTCCTTTACAGTCATTCAATATAAACGCTGCTTCCTTGAGGTGAGCTCTGCAAGTTTCCCATGTTATGGAAAAGGGGGGGAAGAGACACATTCCAATATCAATTAAGGACATCACATATGAACTGGGAGTAATCCATTTGACCTGCTCAAGCTTGCTCCACTATTCAATAATAGTGGCTCATCTGACTTGCCACACTACATGTTCCAACCTCCCCTGACATCAAACTGCAGTTCTTAACAAAAAAGCCAAGTTACACTTAAAGAGTTTCACAGATAGTAGGAACTGCAGATGCTGGAGAATCTGAGATAACAAGTTGTAAAGCTGGATGAACACAGCAGGCCAAGCAGCATCAGAGGAGCAGGAAAGCTGACGTTTCGGGCCTAGACCCTTCTTCAGAAAA